AAATTATAGACACTTTTTGGGGGTATAGCACGGCTACTAAGGAACAATCGTGTTGAGACACAACACGATTGTTCCTTAGTAGCCGTGCTATAATAGCAATTCCAATTGGCTCATCATGCAACTCTTCTCAGTAAAGTAATGGGCATTGTTCTATAATTTCCACAATCAACTTGACCTTTTGGTAAGTTACCTACTTTTCCGCTCATTGTTTATATGCGTCGTCGTCGTTCCCTATTCTCTGTCCTCTCCTTTTTCTCCTTCTTTTTTTCCTTCTATGATATTTTTACAAAAGTTAACATATCGCAACAAGCGCCTCATCGTTCCTTTCTTTCTGCTCATGTTTAGGCTTCTCTTACCATTCACTGTTATAATTATCTCTTCATTCGACTTTTTTCCATCCACCTTGCATAGATGATGAAAATACATTGATTGGGCTACTACTGGTCTAACTCAAAAGCAGATCCGCTGTGTCCGCTGCGGACACAAGCCTAACAGAGTTGTAACGTCATACTTTTAGGGTCTACTGAGGTCGATTTTCTACATTAAAAGTCTTGACTTGATCACGGCGGACGGAATGTACTATTTTGAGCACGGGTTCATACTTTGATTAAGGTCGGCCCATCCATATAGGCAAACTAGGCAACTGCCTAGGTTGTTCATATTTGTGGGGCGGCATGACATGGCAAAATGATTAATTTTGCTCTAATTATTTGAAAAATAATCGAGAACTTTTATTCTATGAATAGGTATTCAAAAGTACAACATTTTAAATCGGCAGCACCTAAAGAGTTTCTTTTGTCATTGGCAAAATTACACTCTTTTATTTTGTTTTGTAGTCTTTTTTTATGGGCGTCGTTCCAATGTTTTGCCTTTCGCCAAGTTTCATTCAGCCGACGCTGAAAGTGACACGCACTGTCCGCCCCTGACCATTTTTAATTAGTTGCATATGCATAACGTTAACGAGGACTTAGTGCGTGATGCCCACAATTTAGACTAATTTTTAAGGTCTTTTTACATTTTATAATGTTAGTTTTTACTTTATGTTGATTTGTTAGGTTCCAAGCGGCTATATAAGTATCCCGGCTGGAGTCCGGCCCCGGGCAGCGTGACAATGACGGCGTCCTGCCCGCCCGGGTACTACTGGGAACCACGCCAGAGGATATGCGGTTAGTATGTATACAGACAAGCTCCATAGTACAGTGGTTTGGGAACTCAGTTTGCGATGCGGCAGTCAAGTAACTCTCGTAAGAGCCTGTCATCGGATGGATGAACCAAAATTGATTATCTCGAGGTTTTTCATGCTTCGGAAAACAAGTAAGACCGTTAATCCTGGCTGCACTAGGGCCAAGTGGTAGGTGACCTGTCCACTCTATATAGTTGGATTCAATTTCATCCATAGGCAAGGCTTTTGTCCCAGCAGGGGGGACATGACCTAGACCTAGTTGGAACTAGACGGAAAAACCAGGAAATATGCGTATTATAGGTGGAGAAATTCGCAAGATCACTTGTAATACTCGTTTCTTACTATTTGTGTGTTGCCAGTGGCATGTCCGAGCGGCACATATATCGCTCGTGACGGCGCAGTGTGCCGTCCCTGCCCGCGCGGTGTCGGTTCGCTGCCCGCGCAGACCCGCTGCAGGATACTCATGCAACGACACACGAGATCCGATGTGAGAATAATTGATTTGAAACGATTATGATTAACGAAATTTAATAGAATTGTACACTATTTTGCGCAAAACCAATTGCTATAACTGTTGCTATAGTTACTTTTTGTCATAGCTTCACGATTACAAATATGTTTAGGGTATAAGAACCATAAAGACGAGTTCCCTTATCGTGACGACATATAGTTGTGCAGTTTTGAACTTCATGACTACATTTAAAGAGTTGAGTTGTACACATTACGCACTTTTACTCACAAAATTTTAGAAATTGTAGGTAATTTAAAGCTACAGAAGCTTTTAATTGTGTTACAGTTGTATATTCCTGTTATTATTAGTTTGTTGTATCTTTTATATTTAAGATAGAATATAATTATGTAAGAAATAAACTAAAAATATTTACACACAGACTTAATGTTGATGTATGCAATAAAATTATAATAAAGAGAATCTTTATGTAAAATATATGTAAAAAATTATAATGATAATGAAATGTAATGTATTTATAATGAAATGTTATTTATGAATAAATTATTATTAAAATCTATCGACAATGTGAAAGACATTGAAAACGTTTCCAGCTTAGTATCTTTCGATGAATCGACAGGAACCTTTTCTTAAGTTGATCTCTGCTTCCTGAACCAATACTCTGACTGTTCCGGGGGTTTGGGTTTTTAGGATATCACCTTTGAGATCTCGATTCCCAGTTTGCATAATATGTTTATTATTTTTTTTAAGAAATACTTAATTATTTAAACAGTATATTTGTATTAGTTCCTGTATGGGGTTATATGGGAGTTGTTGTTTTCCCGGCAGTGGTGGTGGTGTGCGTGGTGTTGGTGGCTGTGTGCGTGCGCATGCGGCGCTCTAGCGCTGCGTGTGCTGCAGTGCCGACAACGTCACGATCACGACCACGGTCAGTAGGTACTTGCTATACTTGATAAATTACTAACGTTGTCTTACGTTACGCTTCAGTACAGTTTGTAGAAAATGATATGTTTTATATCAAAGTGGCTTCCACGCCGGGTTCAGGGATGGGTCAATGTTGAAAATGAACTTTCCATATTGTCTCGTGTTGAGGAGTCGTACTTTCGTCGTTATAGATACTCCGTGTTTCAGATTCTCAACTTGGAATTTGGATAATATTTAGTTAACTATGTTGCTACTAAAGTAAACAAATGTATAACTGTAGGTAAGTATATTAACAAAACTTCTGGTAGTTTTGTGTCGGTATATCATAAGTAGCTACGTGTTATGAATATATAAGTCTTTTTGTGCATTAATTTCAATATTAGGATAGTTATTGCAAATCAAAGGAACGATTTTCACCTTTTTTAACCTACTAACATCAGAAACAAAGCAATGCTAATACGGTTTTATTTAACATAATACTCGTAGTACAATTCAGTTATTGCGACAACTTAATAATCAGATATGTACATACAAACCCACTTATACCATAGCTAATTTAGTGAAATGATTTAAACTTGGTAACACCAAGGAGTATTTACATAAAGATCATATAAAAACATTAAAACTATGTACAGTCAACAGCACGTGAGACTATCCGAAACAATCTAATTTCCCCACTCGATTTTAAATCTTATCATACTAAAAGTAGAGGTCAAAAACCATTGCTGAAATTTGAGATTTTGTGGTAAGCTGACGTGCAGCCGTGAGTGCAGAGGTTTTATTTATTCCTTCATAACAGGCTTATAAATTATAAAGGTCGTTTGTTTTCTATGTTCAGTGGCAGAGATCACGGTGGCGGCGTGTCAGAAGCGCGTGCCGCCCGCGCCCCCCGCGCCTTCTCGACCGCTGTCTCCCTCGCGGGTGATACTCGCCAAGTTCTTCAGAACATCGAAAACTTCCACCAGAGCCACAGGTTAGTACTTAATAGTAAACGATTACTCTCACTAATATCAAAGTATCTAACCCTATAGGTGACAAGTCGGCAAAATGCCGCGGGCCCCCAGCTGGAAAGGACCCCCGGTCAGGGGTGACTGACATTTATTATTACGTAATTAGTAAAAAAAAATTGAATATCTGATGAATTTGCCACGGGTCTTAAACGGTATAGTTACGCCACTGATATTAGCTCTATGTATTTCAGACTCCCAAGAAACTAAATTTGGTATATGGAAAGAAAAGAACATACCGCCACCGCTGCCGCCTATAGATTTCGATTTATGAGTGTGATCATTATAAGGTATTAGTAAAAACAAAGATAATCCCAAAACGTATCGAATTTTACAAACACTGCGGATATTTATTTTATAGATATAGGAACACATCTAGATTACCTAAACCTAGCACTGTTCGTATTTAGGACCCAAAAATAATATATTTGATCAATAATAAAAAACATGAACTTTGAAATATAACTTATCATTAACCCTTAAATCGTGTCATTGTATAAATATTATGAAATATAAATCTTTTTTGATGTTGTAGTATAACTAAATTGTTTCATAATATATCGAACTATAATATTTTTATATGTCGTTTAAGTGTATTGTTGTCGATTGATTTTTAGATATAGTTTTTTATTTAAGGGAGGTATTAAAGATAGCCACCTATTTTCTAAGAGTTATTTGTTGTGTAATTATGTTGTAGAACGCTGTTATTTAAGTGATGATTAAGTTGTATTAAAGTACAGTGAATGAATATGTATTTTATTTTTAGGGTTATTTCGAGCTCTCCAACCGGTACTCCGATAGGTGGGAGCAGCGGGAATTTACAGGTTAGGTAGGAAGAACGGGAATACTTTTTCACATACCTCCAATTAAATGGGTTTTGTTTTTATGACTTATCCAAAAACACACCAAAAGCACAGTCAAGGTCGTTATTTGAGTTAATTGAATTTACATTTCATTTTAATAGAAAGGAATTCAATCTTTAAAAAGTGGGAAATAATACTTATGTTAAAAGCGGTTTCATTATTAAAGTATTTCATTATTATCAATATATTTTTTTATCCGTGCGAAATTAAATGGCATTAATCATGAAATATAAATTAATGCCTGAATATTGACATTTAAGTTGAAGTTTCAAGTCGCAAAATGAAACGAAATATCGCCATAACATCGCTAAGTTATCGTATCCCATGGCTAGAGAGAGACTGAACAGAAATGACAATATGCGTTGTTTGACGAAAATCGTAACTGTCCACTTGCGTCTCTGATGTGGCTAAATTTAAGAGCCAACCAATGAGTGAATACCATCATAAACATATCAACAAATTTGCAATGATAATCTTCATACCACTAAATGCTAAAACTACAAAAGATATCCTCTGGAGTTCTGCTCCAAATTAAAACAAGTAAATATTTTGTTACGTTTTTATTGTTGATACTTGTTATAATAAGATAGTTACTGATATTTTAACACAACAAATGTATAGCTAAATATAAATATCTATAATCATAAACTTGGAATATGGTCGACAAATTTAATTACACAAAATCATTTTTAAATTAAATTTTAAACTGCCATTAATATAACAAATACTGTTTCCTTCAAGTAAATGAAAACTATTTTTTTACATTAGGTGTGAGCAGATTTGTACATTGCAACAATAAAAAACATGAATGCGAGCAGAAAAAATTAAAAGAAATAAACATTTGTGATTATTACCAATTATAATAAAATACAAACCCTTCTAATATTTGGATATTTTATCACTAATATCAGCACACGGAATCCTACAAAAGATCAAACTTCGTATTAAATTCTGAACTAACAACAGATTAAGGTTTATTATATAATCGATTGAAGATATTTGACATTTATTTAGTAATCTTATGTGGTGTCTGTGGTGACTGTACGATAAATAAATAGATATGAACCATTACCACCAAAAATTAAAACCTATTTGAATCGAACACGCGAACGCATGACATTTGTGTAGATATTAATATATACACAACGCCATCTAGGGGACTAACAATTCCAATAACTTAATTAGACATTTGTGCTTCTTGATACGAATCCATACACTAGATATTTCATGGGTTCTGGTTCCAAAAGTTGCATGGCTGTGCATCATTTTTAGGACGTCTATGTATAGTGCTACCATTTGTATAATTCGGCATTATTCGTCTGCGAAGCAAGCTAAAGGTGAAGGAATACGAGTACTGACGTGCGATACGACACGAGTATTAGCGCACGAATATTGCTGAAATACACTTTAATACGTTACGTTAAGGTTCACTCATAATACCGTCTGTCGACACGTCACATGAACATAGTGCGTACATCGACCAATAACAAACGAAGACGGTTCGCGCGCAAACGTGGAAGGTTACCATTAGCTAAAATTATTTCGTGCCTTCCGAAAATGGAACGTCTGTGCAGGTGTATCTAATAAACATGGTTCTCCTGCAATTTTAATTTAATAATTAAATATTTGTCGCTTGTGCGTTTTCATTTCACTGAAATAACATATGTGATTTTATTACTATTAATCATCAATTATAAAAATTTACTGACATCAAAAAAGTCATTTACATAAAAGCAGTTTCAAAGCAATTCAAAAGCGATTACTTAATGTATAATTAATTGAATTTGTAACTTGGAATTTCAGCTTAAAATAGCATTATATGTGAATCAATTAATTCTTTAAAATATGCATTATCGCATAATGTCGACTGAATGTGATAGCTAAATGTATAAACTTTAATATGAGCAATTTATTAGGCATAATCTATCAATTGGTATTATACTGTATCCTATTGACAATGGCCGGATTGTATGACTTGTCGCTCTCTTTTCCACTCTTAATTCCGGAGATTTTATAACAAATTGCTGCTGTGTACATAAGTACTAACAATTATGCCTATCTTGAAAATGACTGCAATTTTCACAATTAATATAAATACGGATCACATATAAAATAAACCTCCGAACTTCCATTGTGAATAGAACTTTGCGTCGTATCAATAAAGTTTAAATTTTATCGTTATACTAAAGTGGACCTCATTCAATTATTTAGTGAACACTGATTTTAAAAGATATATTATCTATTAGCTTGTAACACGTTCTTAACGTTCATACTTTTTTATTGCAACACCAACAGTAAATTTCAAGTTATTTATTTAAATTCTTGACTATTTCTTTTTCCGTTACATGAAATAAATATTTATAGGGCGTTGATCAAAATTACATGAAAAATTATGGACAGCAGACATCATTATTGAGGGTAAGATAAAAATCGTTTTGGTCTATTATTCGTTACAAATACTACAATATTGTGTACAATTAACTCAGGACCAGCGCGGCTGTTTCAAAATAAAATAATTAAACGGCACTCGATTTCGATAAAGTTGCTAAACATTCAAAACATATTTAGAGTTTTGTTTTGGAACAATCGAGCAGATCCACTGTGTAAATTTCTTGATAATTTTGGCATCTCAAGCCCCTTTTCGATTCATCGTACCGCGTAACCAGTCAAAATTCATATGACAAAGAATGGCAATTTTAGGCACACAATCCTAAGTGAAATAGCCCCAGTATTAATTGAAAGCTAAGACCATTACATTTGAATTAAAGGATGGTTGTATGAAGTTCGATTAGACACACGGTAATCTCGCCAACAAAAGAGAAGAATTGAGTAATCAATAGACAATCAAAAGCTGAAAAATTAAAACAAGTTTCAAAATAAAATTTAGACATAAAATTTAAAGACTTCGATCAGTCACAATGGGAATCGCATCTATTCTAATCCGTTATTTGAGGATATGGAATCCATTTCTCATATTTATTTACGTAAACATTGCAGTAATTTTATGTAAGTATATTTATCAATATACATGGTTATTAATAAAACACAAGCAAACCCGAAGGACTAGAAAGCTAACGTCATAAAATAACATTTGGTATAAGAGTTCAACAATTGACTTCCACCCCTTGTACTCTTTATAATATTAAAACGTATTTTTTTGCAATTACCAATTAATTGAATTTATGATATCTGGCAGACATAAATTATTATTTTATTTAATATTTCTAGTGTTGTAACGATATCATCAGGGCTCATGTCAAGTAATATTAAAAACCTTTTTTTAACGACATGAAAGCAATGAGTTTGAGCTTTAACATAAATCGATACTAGAAAATAATGATTCATCATTTTTTATTTCTTTCGGAACATTTTCATTTATTATGCTTTATTACGAAACCAAACCGCTACGTTCGCGTACTGATTTAAGTAAGAAAGAAAGATCTATCTTTGATATTAACTATCTAGTCATGCAGGTTGTGGTTTTAATTTAACAGTTTACTAATAACCCTGTATAAGGTCCTAGATTCAACTTTCCACTAGAAACGGACCACTGATTTGCAAGTTCCCATATGTCTGAAAGAGTTCTAAAACTACAAAAAATATATGTTTCCAAGCAAAAATGTACATCTTATTTCCAAAACATCAGTTACACTATTTCCATAGTAAATACATCTGACAAAAGCTTATCGTATCAAACAGTTACACATGGCATTAACAGCGTTTTACAAAAAAGTTTCCTTTATATATAAAAATATTCACCAACACTTCGTACAAAAGTTCCAATACTCTTTAACAACCATTATTTCGATATTATCGGGATAATTTGACCTCCATCTAATAAGATTTTAGAAAAAAATATCATCTGTCCCAGAAACTGACATGATATTAAGCCCATAATCTTTAGTTAACCAAGCGACTATCTTGAATTCTTGAGTTTTATTTGATTTTGTTATTAGTTTCTATAAAATTGAATGAAATATATATTTTAGACAAAATTACAAGTTCCTCCAATATCATATATGTCGCAATCACATGCACAGAGATATGATTTGAAAGCAATATTATCGTCATATAGTGTTAATATATTTACTGTACATATTTTAACTTTATTCTCCATTTCACAAATAAATATGTTAATGTTATAAATAGATATATTAAGTTTACAGGCTGGACAATGGCTGATGTAATATATTTATTAACACTTCTGTACAATAAAACAAAATATTTTTCAAAAGACACATTAAATAATTTACTTAAAAATGTATTTCATTCAAATTAGCATTTCATATTCAGTATCTAGACATTTTAAGTATTTTAAAAAATATATTCCTGTTATTCTCCATTATATTTCACTACAAAATTTAACATTAAAACCTTCCCAAAAGAACTCAAAAACCAAAATACAGTATCATTTATATTAAAACATGGATACATTAACCTTTCATCTCCGACAGAGGTCCTAAAAGTTTCACATGAAAAATTATCCCGACAAATGTTCTAGTTTAACATTACAACCAGAAACAGAACAGCGTCAAAGCTCTGACCGCTCTCGTGGAGCGGTTCTGGCATCACTGGACTTCCTCTTCAGGTGGAATATCTTGAACGTCATGCGGTTCCTCATCACGGATTCTATTATCCAGCTCGATGACAGGATCAGCCGTAGCCTCAGCCAGGTTTGTGACAGATTTACTCTTGAAGCATTGGAAGTCTACGTGGCGGCTCTTCGCTTCCTCCTTCTCCCAGGACATATGTATGAACGGCCTTTGTACATAGTTATATATTACTTCGGGGCGACCGCCTGGGCGTTTGCGTACCTATTTATAAACAAAAAATTAAATTCTATATTGTCTAACATAGTTCCACTGAGAAAAATAGGCGAGAAACTCAGCAACTGTTTTTTTCTTCTTGTTTTAGCTAGATATATTATTTCAAGATAACCTTACATTAGAATGTTTAAGATTAGCAATGTATAAGGTCACACATATACTGCATAATCAGATTTTAGTCATTTTGAAGATTGAGAGTTTTCCTTAACTATGTGTCCATTATCATTATTTCATCTGTCTACTTACGTTTTTACACCTCAACTTACGTAAATATCATAAAATTATAAGCAATAGTAAACAAATTTTTTATATAAATGTTACCTTTTCCTTATATGTGGGATACCCTTCGACGCCAAGACGTATCTTCTTGAGACCTCTCTCCTTCATTACTTGCTTAGCCACATCTCTGTATGAATATGACATAATTATGACATTTCACAATTTATAACACTCAAAATTTTTATCTTATACAGTGGTGGACATATAATTAAGAACGCACCCTTGAAAATAATACATTTTTTAATACAAAACATATAGCTTGTTGCATGTATTATATTTTATTATTATGGTATTCCAAAATCTTTCTACATTGTTGGTACTTTCTTCTATAAATTAGATTTAATAAACCACGAATAAAAAAGTACAAATTATGCAAACGTAAAATGTAATCCAAGAATTACTTCTTACTAATTAATAATACATAATTAAGAACGCGATCTATTTATTTTTTTATTCAAATTCAAACAAGGAACACTCTATAGGTATACTATTTTCTCATAAAACTGGCGCCATTTAGTAGTGTAAAAACAATTGGAACGTAATTTTTCCAAAATAATAATGGGAAAAAATAAAAATTGCGACCAATCTACAAGGAAGATTGTATTAAAACTTTGGGAGATGTATTGGTCTTATAAAAAATTAGCTGACCATCTACAATGTTCGAAAACCATGATCTTCAATGCTGTAAAGCATTTTAAAACTTATAACAGTACTTTAAATATTCCGCGCATGTCGCAACCGAGAACATCATCTCTTCGAGACGACAGAAACATTATTCGTCTGGCGAAATTAAATGCTTTCAAAGGGTCTAACGAGATACGAAAGGAATATTCTGGCGAAGGAAATTCCTCTGCGATCTCGGCACGCACTATTCGAAGGCGTTTAGTAGAAGAAAAGTTATACGGCAGAATAGCAAGAAAGGTACCTATGCTAAAACAATGCCTTAGCTAATCCCATATTCCATAAACTTCAAAATTACCTATCAGATGCATATTGCTACTTTTTAAAGTATTATTTCATTAATATAGTAATCATTATAGTATTGTAAATGCAAAATTTATCAAACATAATAATTCAAAGTTACCTGTTCTCTATATACTTGAAGAACCTATAGAGCGGCGTAGACAACACGGTCTGACTATACTCCTCCCCCATCTGCGGCGGATATTCCTCGTCCCACTCTACCGTGTCGTCATCGAGCAGGACAACAACATGACACTCGCGGTCGCCGCGCCGCGCCGACTCCACCATCAGCGGTAGTATCAACCGCTCCAGGAACGACTCAAACTGACGACGCGCGCCTTCATTAGATAACTCGTGAAGGAGACCTCTCAGGTTCTGGGCCAATTACAATATCATTTAAAATTCTACATTTCAAAATTCTGCAAGTTCTTCAAAAGTTGCTTAACATCTTTATCAAGCAACTTTTGCAATGGCTGGTGCAATGACCAAAAAAGTAGTATTTTGTGTTCCTCCATGATTCAGAAGGCACATTAAGCTGTTGGTCTAGGCTAAATATGCAATCGTTAACACCCACCTGCACTGGGAATAGGTGGTAAGTTATGACCCATTCCCTCTGGGGTATAGGCATTAATCACACAGGAAAAGCTTGTACAGTAGAACCTTGATAACTCAAAACTTGGTAACTTAAAAACCTCTATAACTTCAAAAAATAATATGTTCCCTTCCCATCAGAGCCAAAAACCTCGATAACTTAAAATACGCAACTTCTGTAACTTAAAAAGTAATCTCTGTATTGGCCCTCAGTAACTTAAAGAAATGCTTCCACAACCTCTATAACATAAAATTGTCAATGGGTTTTGTGCAAAACATAAGGTTTCAGTATTTATTGCTTGCACATGTTCACTAGTTAACTAAAAAATACATATGTCACCTACTGTTTGGTCCTTCGAAATTCTTTAAATCAAGTTAGAAACTGTGAATTGTTTAAAACAAAAAAAATCAGACTCTTTGAAGTGGACTAAACCTTTAATTGTTGTTTTATTTTTATTTAACGTGTGCAATGTGAATAAAAAATATGATTATTTAAATTTCTGTATTTTATTCAACCAGTCCTTCTGACGCATTCGAGTAAAAATAGGAACAAGGGTACATACATACATATGTACATACCTACCTCTATATTAACATATCCCTAACATAGACCCTTGATAACTTTAAACCTCTATAACTTAAAATATTTTGTGTTTCCCTTGGACTTTAACTTATCAAGGTTCTACTGTTATATAATTTTAGATCAAAGTCTGAGTTATGGTAAACTTGTAGACCAAACATTGTGGTTTATGATTTTATTTAGTGCCAAAAGGTTGAAAGTATTTTCCTAATAACCCTGTATATAATTTGTCATAGTCAAAACAAAAAATGGTAAGCTAAAGTAATAATCCATGATAAATACTTAGCAAACGTAAAACTGAATTTGGTAATGGGATCAGGAACAAACCTGGCATCGCACTGTGTTGGCATCAAATGGTACCAGCAGATAATCGCATGCCTCTCTCAACTCCTGCACAGACACGGTCGGTGGGCACCTAATGCTGCCACCTCTGTAGTAATCCAGTATTGCTCTGAACACTGTGGCTGAGATGCCTTCAGCAACCTCATATTCACCACGCTCATTAGGATGGGTGAACTCTAACCCTGAAGTGAGAACATGATTATGAGACAATAAGACTAGACTTAAATAACAAAGACATAAAGTATTAACAAAGACAATTTTTTTAGCTAAGTAATAAAAAAAATGTTTTAATAATGATGATAATATCATCATTACTACTAATGATAACCTAAATATAACCTTTATAATGATTAGTCATAAAATTCTAGTTTCTCAGTCAAGAACTAACATTAGTGACTCATTAAATAAATAACACATTTCCAGTACAGTCATAATTTGTGGTCATAATATTTAATTTTCTAAGAACTTTCCATGCCTTACAACAGTAAGTTTGCTTACATTATGACTTATCAATTATCATAGTTCAATAGCTAACTACCTATACATGGAAATAGTAACATGATTATAAGATAAACCGTGAACTTGCTAATTCATTGTTTACACACCACTAAATTAGGGACATTTATCAAATCTCTGATAAACATAACTAAAATATAGATTTATGACTATTTATTATCAAAAAGTTGGCTAATTTACCATTTATGTATGAAACAATTAAAATGTATATGTGAATTTACTATAATTGAAACATTTACTGCAATAAAAACCAATAATAACTCTTACACCACTAACTATATAACTTTAAATCTTAAATGAATATATATCTATATCTTCACATCATATCTCTTGCTGCCTACCCTGGCAGGAAGAAAAGAGAAATGAAAAAAATATATAAAAAAGACTTCAATCATTTTATTATATCACTTGTTAAATAGTAAATAAAATAAAATTAAGGAGAATGAGTTAAGTTCATATGGCAATTCACTTTTTTCTTATAAATCCTGCAAAGATATAAATGCTTACCAGAACTAAACATCCTTCCTAACATGGTGTTGGGATGGGCAGTGAACTGTGCAGGATCGACGACAAACCTCGTGTTATCCACAACAAGTGTTATTCTATCATCGCAAAGCTGATTTTGTGTCTTCTGACCATTCCTGGGCGGTTCCTGTGCCGAGGACGTAGATGGTGTAGGCGCACTAGGGATCTGATTTTTTGGCGGCATATTTGGAACGCGACCACGAATATTCAAACCGTTACGTTTCGACAACCTTTTGCGTCTTTCCTCGTTGTCTCTCCTATAATCTTCTGTGTCACTACTGCTGTCTGGATAGAAGAAAGGCCTGCGGGGATCTGACATGGCCTCTTTCCCCGTGATTTGAGAGTCTGACATAGGCGCTCGCTCTTCTCGAGTCCTTACATCACGATCGATGCTGCCTTGTCTCCGCGAGGACCTAAATCGCAATTTCGTTGATTTCGTCGTGGAAAACTAATGTTTGTTAATTGCGAAATTACAACGACGTCACGTCAATTCGCTTTTTTGACAGATCACAGACCACAAAAAAATAATACTCTCTCACGAGAATGTGTGATGTGGTCTGTGATCTTTCAAGTATTTTAAGAAAAAGAAAAGAAAGCACTAAAAGAGCATCTCACTAAAAGGCGACTCTGGCAAAAGTTGATTTTTGCAGGAAACGAATGGACGAAAGAGAGTCATTTCCGTTCCTTTTAACTAACATATTAAAAAAAATTAAAATTCGCAAAGCTCGAAACTTAGATATCAATACCAATACGAAAAAGTACAAATAGAATGTGAGTTATATTGAGTTTTAAAATTTAATTTACTTTTATACATGAAAAAAACCGGAAGAGTTGTCATGGAGAAATCCAGAAAGTACTATAGTGACATCTGTTAGATTACGGGAACTAATGTATTTTTTTAAATACTTCCTCATTGCAAAAATGCAAACGAAGTTTATAAAATAGTAATAAAGCAAGCAATCGATCTACAGCACTAGAAGAGTATTCTGTGGTACGGAACAAGAAAAAATTTGGTTATTATGTTTGTAAAAAAAAAGTTAAAAAAAAACCAATGAATGAATCGGCTGTTGACCTTTCATTGTCATATGCGGAAATTGGTTAATTTTCATGTTTTGAATAATTACAATCCGAAATACTTTCACAAGATTTATTATATTACGTAAATAATATCAAAGTTTATATTCTACTTTGTAGGAGTACCGTGCATTGATACATAGTGAAACAAGAAAAACTTGATTTGTGACGCGTTAGGGCGTTGGTAAAGTTTTTACAATTAAAATTATTTAAAATGGATCAGAGGGAGGAGTACCACGATCCAGACTATCCCGAGTTGCCGGCAGTAGTAAAAGAAGAAGAGCCAGAAGTGTCAGAAGAAGACAGAGTTGATAAAATCAAATCTATAATTCGCCGGGAATTTTCAAACGAGGTTGAACTAAGAGAAAACGAGTTAATGCTCATTGAACAAAGGTGCGTGGTATTTATGTTAATTCTACTAATGTAAGAAAGAAAAAATAGTTTTCAAAGTTTTATGGCTGTGTATGCAAATATCTTTCAAAATACATAATGTTTTAAGAGAGGTTCATGTTTGGCGCGAATTTGAAATCACTTTTATGAATTAAAAAGCTATATAACTTCCTGATTTCTTAACTTTAAGGCCTTGGTAAATAATGTCATCCAATTGTATATACAAAATAAATTTGTTTCTGTCGAACATAAAACCCATTGACTACATTATATAGATTTGTTCCCACTTAATTTATGTGTCCTTGATGAATAAAGCTCATACCAACTATTTTGTACTTTGTTAAAACTCATTCCATACACATATTTTCGAAATAATATTAACTAATGTTATGCATAGACTGATATTTTGCAAACCTGATCCTCAAATAGGATTGATTTGACTTAATAATATAATATTAAAAAAATGATATACATACCTACCTACTTCTGGACCTGTTTATTTCTATCCTTAATTGTTAATTTACTTAACCTATAAATAGCTTAATTATGTTATGCTCACTTTAAAATATTTGCAGTGATTTATTTATTTATTTAATCTTTATTGTAATGTCAGTCAGAAAGAGGGTGTTTGCTGCGTATGGTTCACTGAGTCGTCTGCGTAATTTTTTGCCGATCAGTACCAAAATCACTTTGGCACATTCCCTAATGTTGTCTATTATCGACTACGCTGATGTGTGCTATACAGATCTCTCAGAAGAACTTCTCACCAAACTAGAGCGTCTGCAGAATGTATGCATTAGATTTATTTTCAATCTTCGAAAATATGACCATGTGTCGTATTACCGTTCAAAGTTAAATTGGCTTCCTATTCGCCGACGCAGGGACTTGCATACTCTCACGGTTCTTTACTCTATACTTTTCCTCCCATCATCTCCACCATATCTTAAACAATCATTCTCTTTTCGCTCCTCTTCATCACAATGTACATTACGTTCCTCTTCAAACCTCACTCTCGAAATCCCTCGTCACTATACAGATTTCTATTCTTATTCTTTTGCTGTGCATGCTGTGCGTCTGTGGAATTCTCTTCCAGAGGGTATCAGGAGGGCTCGATCATTGGGATCCTTTAGCGATGAAGTTAGAAATTATTTCCTTTCCACATCTTAAAACTATTTTCATATTATTCTTTCACTATTAAACTGTTTAATTCATTTCATATGTATACATTTATTTTTTTGTTTATTATAATATATTAACGCTATTTATTTATTAATCCTTCTCTATATTGCACCCACTCCCCATAGTATCTTTATTTTTTATCCATTTTCACCTTAGGTTGCCTGGAAGAAATTGCTGTTTAGCAATAAGGCCGCCATTTGTTTACTCAATCTCTTAGATATTAAGCTTTTTTGTAAACTATGTATCATATTGAGTGCAATAAAGTATTTTATTATTATTATTATTATTAAGATAAGTCTACTCTAAACTATGTATTTTACATCCATTTCCTTTTATGAAGCATATTTATGAATCAATTTGTATTATAGATACAACATATTAGTTAATTATACTTCTTGTTAGCAAAAAGATGTTTGAATAGGTTATGAAACATTAACACATTAACTTATTTGAGAAAAAAAACTTTTGACTTTAACATGTGTTTAGTCTGTCAGCTGGATTGGCAAGTTTAGTAAGATGTTATATAAAGTATATAACATATAACTAACCTTACAAATCCACCTTCCTATTTAATATGTAAAAAAAAAATTTAATAGTACAAAATTTTCTTTTTTACTTGTTTTGCAGGATATCTACCTCCCGCCGATTGCTCCATCGACTCCGCTACACACTGGTGATTAACTATTATAATGATCAGAAGTTGCAGCTTAATAACACACAAATTGAAGATGATGTATCTCAGCTAGACCCTAGAGTAAAAAATCAGGTATAAGATATTCGGTCTCTTTCTATCGTTAACATCCAACTAACGTGTTTCCCATGGGTTTGTTTGTGCAGTTTTTGACCCAGAGAAAATGCGTTATGCACTATCCCAGCCTGATTGGGCAATAAGGGGTGTGTGGAAGGCTGAGGGCGGGGGCCTACCCACAAAACCCTGGGATTACCCTTGTTCAGGGTTGGCACCCGGGAACCCGAGCGTTTTTGCCGGGACAGCCATCCCCTGTGAGAGGGTACAAACCCTTGCGGGGGTGGAAAGACACGGGGTAGGGTTGTGCCTTTTATTGGATTGGGTTGAGCAGATAGTTATCAGCCACTCACATTGGCTCCGTCAGAGGTCTGGGATGCGCTAATAAGTGACCCGCCCCCCATTCCTTCCTGTATGGAGAAGGTCCATCTAGGTATGCCCTTCGAGGCTCCCCTCACGGACGCGCAGAGCAGACGCACTAATTCGATGATGACCAAATACTATCAGAAATTAGATAATGTGAGTTCAGTTCTCTGATATGCAAATAGGTTTTTTCACCTGCCGTTCAACATCTTATATCTTATATACATTATAAAATTAGCGCGATATCGTTTCGTATACTTTGGTAATCACTAACATATTATAAAACATGGGGATAAGGGGGCCGTTTGTCTGTCTGATCGCGAAAAACTATAAAAGTACTGGACGAATTTCATACAGTTTTCACTTACAGGTAGAGTGAGGAAGGTTTTAGTGTATAATAAGTTTAGGTTTTGTGCAAACTGACGATAATAATCCGACATGTCGGAAAATATGAAGCTGATCGGGAGCTTTCCTCGAAAACACTGCCAGAATTTTTTGAGTTATAACAAAATAATGTGTAGTGGGATTGTACCTTTTTAATAGATCTACAAAAATGTCCAAAAGATGGTAAATGTCTATCTTCCAAGAATAACCCACAATAACCTAAAATTATGGGTTATTTATGAACCAATTCTAACAATACAGTTTTATTCCTTATTCAATTAAATATGTTATGCATTTCATTTAGATACTAATTTTTTTATTTATTTTTAGGTGTAAACAAACAGTCATACAATTTACATTGATATTACAAAATTAAACAGATGAGATATAATTGTACACCAACACATTCACCACATCATGATCAAAACAAACCAGCCTACAAGTGGTTGCACATTATGTTTTCCAAAATCCATAAGAGAGCTTTTAATTCTTTTAACTAGAATTAAAATCTTACAATTTAACAGAATAGTTGACATTACTTTGCAAAAGCATAAAAACATATGTTTATTAAATTATGTATTCATAAGGTACAAACAACAGAGAACCAAACAAAAAATAGATATCAAAAATTATATTTTTTTGACAATTCATTCATTCACACACGCACACACACACACACACACACACACACACACACACACACACACACACACACTCACACACTCACACACTCTCACACTCACACACACACTCACACACACTCTCACACTCACACACACACTCACACACACACTCACACTCACACACACACACACACACACACACACACTCACACACACACACACTCACACACACACACACACACACTCACACACACACACACACACACTCACACACACACACACACTCACACACACACACACTCACACACACACTCACACACACACTCACACACACACACACACTCACACACCACACACACACACACACACACACACACAGAGAGAGAGGAAAATACTTATATATATTATTTTGGCAAGGTATCCAGAACTTGTTTTTTTAAAATACTAGGGCTACTTGCTAATATGTCAATATTATTGAAATGAGAATTAAAGCTGTTAACTAATTAATATATTGGAGACCTCTTACAGCATTTGTTCTCCATTGTGATGTCAGAAACAAATTATGAATTTTTACACTATATAAAAAAAAACGAAACTCCAATGAGTTCTCTCAAAATAAAATTTTCCATGTGAGAAATTAAATGTCAATGAAGTGTAGCAAAGATAGGTTGCTTTTCACTGTGATAAAATGGTTGAAATAGGGATTTAAATTTTATATGAAAGTTCATCAATGTTAAAGATAAAATCATGAAACTTTGTATTCAGGTATTTTACATGATTTAATGAATATTATATTGGTTTGAGAGTTTTTAGAAATGTTGCTTAAAGTGACTATATATTATAATTAGTATATTATTCTTAATGAATAAATAGAATTGTGAATGCAAAATATTTTTTAAGTTGTGTGGTCTAACTGTAGAGCTCAGGTTTTGCAATCGTGAGCCATTCTAAAATAGCACATACAATAATTTTATGATAATAAGCAAAATTATCCAATACGCCCTCCAATCTGCATTGGGCCAGCGTGGAGCGTCATGGCCCATCCTCCTTAACCACCCATAAGGAAGGCCTGAGCCCCTGCAGTGGGGACGTAAAAGGGCTGATGATGATGATGATGATAAAACAAAATTGTCAACAGATGACACCATTGCTGCGTGATGGTCAGAGACGGATACACCCTTCAGTGAGAAAGCTCCTTGGGCAGCAAACAGTCGATCTCAATGAAATATTCCTGGCACGCACTTTGAGGCACAAGACAAGGAGAGATTATTCTGTGAGTAGATTTAATTGTTATTTTCTTTGGCTAGATGTTTCCTAATACAAGAAGTAAGATATTCAGGATCAGAAGTCCATTCAAATTCATATGCTTTTTACACAAGGTCACGATTCTTATATAGCACCATAAGAAAAGCATTCTACTCTACAGTAATATTTAGAAACATACAAGATTATGCGGAGTGCCTAGTAGTGAAAATTTCATACGATAATCGTAACCAACTCCAATGCTGATTCACAGTCTCACGCCATATTAAGATCACAAACATTTGCTTGTTTAAGAAAAAGGACAGGTTCCAATTATACCTTTTTTTCAATTTCTCTACACTGAGCTGAGTTGTCATTTAATATTTATGAAAATTCTCTCAGGCAATGGTACAAACAAGGAATTACACGATCGCAGCTGACACTACAAAATCCCTCCGTCCAGAGGCAAAACTCGACATGGAGTTAGAAACTTCGGTGGAACTAGCGGAACCGAGCAGCAGTAAAATTAAGAAAGTTCCAAGACATTTGGAACCAAAAACAGAAAAAGTAGTCACAATAGATGACCCAACTAGAAACAAAGTGAAACATCGGTACAGGTTCATCATAGGTAAGCATTTTATGGTTCAATGTAACACAGGCTGCTCTTAGTATTAGTCAAAATTCATTTTATGAAACAGAGACTTAGCTAAGGTTAACCTGGTACGAGGTTCTACGGAAGTAATATTTACTCCTAGAAGGTAGTAGGTTTGCTTATTCGCTGTATAATATAAATTTAGACAAATACCAAAATTGCAATTTTAGCGTTAATTTACTCTGACACTAAACCTTGTTTATTAATAGCACTATTAAAGTATATAAAACTTTGTTATGACTGGCTAGATTGATTTGTTTTGAAAGATTCTTAGGGAAAGAAAATCCTAAAAACGTAGAGTGAAAGGGAGAAATTAGAATTAAACCTTTATGGGATTTTATCTTACTAAGATAACAAGTATAGACTGACAAAATCAACCCTAAGAATTTGTAACATACACTTAAAAACAACTATTATAAGGAAGAACGATTTGATTTATTCTAATGATTCTAACGTATCCTTCGTGTTTCCTGACAAACAGGATCACTTAATAAATGTGTAAATATATGATAATTATTAATAAATAAACTGAAAAACATAGGGTTGATTTAAAAAATACTTTTAACGACTTAACTACGTAATGAGCCAGTAACATGGTCTATATATTAGCTGATCGGCTATTGTATGCGTTAGGCAACACGTCCAAATACGCTCCGGGCGCTAGTCGCGCGGACCGCTCCACTCACAAGTGGTTACTGTACGTGCGCGGCCCCCCCGACCGCCCCGACCCCTCCCCCGCGCTCACACATATAGTGGCGCGACTGCATCATTCTTACGCGCCGCATCACACCGTGCGACTGTGGTGAGTCACAACACTACCATATCGTCTACATATACGCTCATCATACATATTTATCTTACACTTTTTACACTGATCACAGATAATTAATTTTTAACTAGGATTACTTGTCCGTCCGTATTCCAGACTAACGTAATTAGCTCGATCTAATATACACTCAGATACATGTTGGTACACAACAGATACCAGTTACTCGCTACTTGCCAAAACATAACATCGAAATTAATCTTTTATATGTAGTAATTACACTGACGTGAAACACAGTTCTTTGTCACAGAAGTGTCGAATGTTCTAGTCTTTATTTCATAAATAAGGATTAAAGTACTCGGATCAACTCGAGGCACATTTTTATTACTCACACTTATATCCTATATTTTCATGATATATAATAATTGTATTTTAAATTCATTTTATTTTACATGCATTCCTTTAGTAAGGCTCCGTTTCATATATCACGTCGCGGCTGGGGCGAGTTTCCAGCGAGACTCGAGTTACACTTCCCGTTGCCTGAAGTGAACCGGCCGGCCACATTAGACCACACTATCAAACTAGATCGAAATTATACTGGCTTGCAGACTTTAGGTAACTTTTGTCTTATAAACTATCTATTTTACTATACGATTTACATTGTAGATTTGTTAATACTACATTGTATAACCATAAAAATCTCGAACAAATATCCTCCAGGTTAAGCTATTGAACTGAGAGTTAATTGATCATTTTTCAAAATTTAGATATACTTTTTCTGTAAAAATGTTAGATGTAGTAAAAATAAAGAAGCTTTTCATTTTCAATTCGTTTCCTTGTTTGCAGTTATGTTTATTATAAAAAATAAAAAAATAAAACAAATTACTTCTTAAAATTTCAGGCGCCGAGACAATAGTCGACGTTTGGCTCTATAGTACGCCTGAAATGCTCGAATATGAGTACTTCGATCCTATTTCGAATTCTATCACTCAGTCAGATGATACTCATCAACCACTAAAAGAAACACAAGAAGAAGAGATCATCACACCGAAGTCAGAACCTATAGAGAATGATACAGGTGGACAGACGGACAGTTGGCTAGATTTTTTCCGTAAAGATACTACTGAATTAGACGTAGACGAAATGATTATAAAACCGGTAAAAACAGAAATCGTTGCAGAGAAAGATGTTTCACTAGACGCAAATGTAAATAATGAAAATGAAGACAAGACAATAACTAATGAAATAGATTGGTCAACGAACGATTTTCATAATACACAACTCCCTGATGAATTATCTCTACCGACCTCACCTAAAAAGAGAATTATGAAATACATAGATTCAGCTACAGGGAAAATATACTATTTAGAAATGGACAGGAATTTAGATTTAAGTAAAGTACAAGAGATCGTTATAAATAATTCGCAAACAGCAAAAATAAGTCCAATCAAATCAAATGGACTGAAAAGTTTTAGGAAGAAAAAAAGTGGAGGTATATCTTTGCTCAAACCGGAAGTTAAGAACCAGTTAAAAAGTGATATTAATATTGTTAAGGAAAAACCAATAGTTAAGAATTTCAGTCATATAGAAAACGATCACTGTTATTTAGGTAACAGCTGGTATTTCCAGCCAGTAAATAAGGCATTGCCAGAACAGAAACACAGTGTTGTTAGTGAAATTAAAAAAGAGAGTTCTCTTTTCGATGACTTGTGTTCGTCGATACGTGCGTTCACATGTGTGAGAGACGCCGTGTATTATTTATTGAAAAAAATATCAATTATTACCGATATGGCGAGGGACATGGACTTTGTTAGTAATTTCCCTTTTGTTGTGGAAAATGAAGAAAAATATTGGAAATTCGATTTCGCCAAAAGAAGAAACATTGAGGTGATTTTCTTTGATAGTAATTGTGTTAGACTTTTCTTATTGTGTCTCATTTATTACTTATAGGTAGGTAATTTGATATATCGTTTTGTTTATTAAAATTCTTGAATGTCTATATTTGATTTTATTAATCGTGATTTTATTTTTTTATAAGTTTAATTTATTTAAGTTAATGAATTCACTTATTATATTTGATCAATTTCGCATAATGCTATACTGGAAAATATGTTTTATGAAAAATGCTTAAAAAATTCACTTGGTCCTTGGTACTCTGAGATGGGATTCGAACCCATCATCATCATCATTAGCCTTTTTACGTCCTCACTGCAGGGGCTCAGGCCTTCCTTATGGATGGTTAAGGAGGATGGGCCATGACCCTCCATGCTGGCCCAATGCGTATTGGAGGGTATTAAGGACTGCAAATGCAGCCGGGACCAACAGCTTAACGTGCCTTCCGAAGTACGGAGTATCTCGAGATAATAATTTTTTGGTCACCCATCCTGTGACCGACCCTTGCGAAAGTTGCTTAACGGCAACGATCGCGGGCCGCGGCGCTTATCCACTAAGCCACCGAGCTACTCATGACCTTTGAACCCATGACCTTTCGCAATTCGGGACTGCTCTAACCGGTGAGCTACACAGGACCTAACAAGATTGACAAATTTTTCAAGCACACTTTTTCGCTGCTACAGAGCGTATTGTCATCAATGTTCAGGCAATCCACCCAAGCATCTGAAAGAAATATTTTAATCTTTCGATAAAGATAAAGTTAGTTCTAATTATTTTATATGATCAATTTCGCAATCACCAGTATAGCACTGGAAACAATATTCTTTAAAGGTCATGTCAAGCTTGAATCACTCAGAGTGCCAAGGACAAAGTGGACTTTTAAGCATTTTTTATTAAGAATATTTTCCAGTATAGCATTGTGAATGCGAAATTAATCAAATATAATCATTAGAACAAATTTTCATCTTTATCGAAAGTTCAAAATATTTGTTAAAAATATTTCTTTCGGATGTTTGGATTACCTGAACATTGATAAAAATAAGTTCTGTAGAAACAAAAAAGTAACAAGTGCTTGAAAAAAGTCCAGTCCTGTTAGGTCCTATGTAGCTCAATAGTTAGAGCAGTCGCCCGGGTTGCGAAAAGCCATGGGTTCGAATCCCATCTCAATGTATCAGCGACAAAGTGGATTTTTATAGCATGTTTGATTAAGAATATGAAAGCAGCTGTTAGGTTGATTTATAAACACTTGGGTGTGTTAATGAGGATGATTACGAAATACAACATATATAAGTATGTTCTTTTTGATTTTCAGTGGTCAAGAGCTAAACTTATTAACAGAATGCTGACAGATCACTTCCCGCAACCAGAGCAAATATGGAGAACGAAGCAAATACTTGTATTCTCAAGGTTATACGGTTTCAATCCAATCAGACCGGATCCTGTACAAAAACTACCAGAGTTGGAAGAGTGGTCATCATGGAATGATTTTGAAACTCCAAGAAGATCAGAATCAACTCAAGAAGCGAACCAGAGTTCTTCAGACATTCGTTCTTTATCAGTTTTCAATAGTGCAGAGTTTTTAAACACTTCTCAAGTGTCTATTGAGAGTTTAGATTCGGATGAAGAAGTAGATGTGTTGCAGAGTGATCCACCTGTTAAAGTCAAAAAGGAGGTAGTGTTAGAAGCTAGTGATAGTGAATTGACAGTGTTGCCAGTTGAGAGTGAGGAGGACAGACTAAGGTTTATGTTCATTGAGAAGAAATGTGCAGACATTGGTGTAGAGTTAAGAAATGAAGACATTGGGAATGGTCATTCATACAGGTGAGTTTGTTAATCTATTTATTATACACCATTGGTATTAGATGTTGAAATTCCACCATAAGTTACTTAAAAAAATTTTGGTAATTCTAAAATTTGTAATTTCTACACCCTTTTTCATAAGTAACTACCAATAACAAAATCTTTCCAATAGATTTGTTTATTATACTGTAAATTTACTCTTTTTCTGTTGATCTTATTACTATTCTGACTACAAGATTTTCTAGGCAATGTTGCATGTATTAGCAAGTTTATAAAACTGGCAATCGTCTTCTCTAAATAATAAGTGTTTGGTCATCATCATACGACAGACGAAAGTTGCTTAACTACCAGTCATACGATTTAAAATTACATTTGAAAACCTAAGCTAATCTATTTCTACGAAAACGAAATTTCGTCCATATTCAAAATGCCAATATGACTCCAAAGAAACGCAGTCTTCGATAATTTATGTATGATGCAACAAAGTAAAACCTGACACTGCCTCTGCTGCACAGATAATCTTCATAGATATGAAATCTTCTGAATTTCTGTTCGAGGACATCCATTCCCTCAGGTGTCATGTTAATTCGTACGAGTTATAGTAGGGGAGCCCACGATGCTAAATCGGGATTTACTCGAGCGTCATAGAGACCTATTGGGTTACGAAGCTTAGATGATAACAAAAAAATATTCATATAATATACGAAATTTCGTCCATATTCAAAATGCCAATATGACTCCAAAGAAACGCAGTCTCATACCTTTTCATCGGTGGGGGAAGCGGCTATAGATTTTTTAAAATGTAAAAAAAACTGTTGTATGGACATACTCGAGCGCGTCAGATATTAATATCATCCATGTCCTACGCACTTTTAAAAACTGTCGTATGTTAATCTGATCGTTTCCATGATGGGGGTGGTTATACGTATAGGTTGAAAATGAAAAAAAAAAAATTATCGAGCGCGTCAGATTTTTTGAGGGGATGTCAAGTGAACCTAAAAAAAACTCTCATATAATAATCTGACGATTTGGATGTGACACAAACGCGTGACCATTATTAGAATGTGCAAAAAAAATCGCCATTTTGAAATACTCAAGCGCGTCAGATTAAGATATATATGGTTCATCTTTATGCCCCAGACGTGATATCTCATAATCTGACGATTATCTGAAGGGATTTACTTAATCTGACAATTATTTTTTTTTATTTTTTCAAATCATTGAGCTTAAATAAATTGAAAAGCACCGGAGTTAGCAAGTTAGCATGCAAATAAATAAGTGTATGTTTTTTATGCAGAATACTTATATTTTTAAGAAAATGAATATAATGAAAATTTAATTTTTACAGTATTTTTTATTAATTATCATCTTCATCGCTAGAATCATCTTCCTCTTCTTCTCTTACTAAATATATGAAAAGTTTAATTCACAAAATTTACATTAAAATAACAATATTAGCAAATACGTTGGAAATACGATGTAAACAATATCACGCCACGAACGAATCTGTGTCATCAGGTGTCATGGCGTCATGGCAACCGAAACCAGAGTGGGGACGGAGTGAGAGAGTAATAGATAGAAAAAGAGTGAGAGAGAAATAGTGATGCAGAGATGGAAATATAGGTATCACGTAGCTGCACGCATTTAATCTTATCGATGAATTTTTATTACTTCGTCTTGTGAAAATCGTCAGATTATATATTTTTCGTAATCCTTGAATGATTTCCTTCAAAATAAAAAAAAAATAGCCACGCTCGAAAAAGTCAAAGTAACGTTTTTTTTTACAACTTTGTAGCCTTCCCCCTTCTTTACGTCACTCTCAAATTGTCAGATTAGAGGTATGTACACATTTTAGCTTATAACTAGCTCACCTTACCTTAATCTAACGCGCTCGAGATTTTCAGATGATCAATTTTTTTTACTAATCTGATCCTTCATCCTTGCCGGGCGGCCATTTTTATAGGGCTCATACTTGGTCCAGGTACTTAACTGTGTACAAGGTATCCCCCTGTATATTAATCTGCCGCGCTTTAGTAAATCCCGAAATCCCCGCTTCGGCTCCCCTACTATTATAAAAACTGAGTACCATTGCGTTAACCATTGCTCCATTGTGCTGCTCTTGGATGTTGTTTAATTTTCCTTTTTGTATATACAGTGCGGTGCACGCGGTTCTTCTGTCCGCTGTCAAGAGTCTCGCGGAAGAGCTTTCGCGCGCCGCCCGCGCGGAACAACTACTCGCGCATGATACCCACCCCGCCACCGTGTGGACCGGGTATGTTCTATATTACTACTGTTATGCCTATTCATCATTTAAATTTTAAGTTTCATGATATTTTAGAAACCTTATTCATTATTTAATACATTAATGTTGATGCTTAAAATTAAAATGTGTCAAAAATGAAATGAAAATTCTTATGAATGTCAGAAATAAGAAATGATTGACTCTCTCTCCGCCTTAATCCCTCTAAAAATTTAATTTTATTGTTTAGTTTAGTTTAAGAGTGGAAATTCTCAAATTATTTTAGACAAGAGACCCTTTTTTTCCAAAATCATTTAAAATAGATCCCGTTACATTCCAATTACTTTAAAAGGCCTGTTGTGTAGTTTTTTGCTGTAGCCTCTTGCTACAACATATTTAACATTTCAATAACTTAGCAGTAGATGAGTGAACTTTACAATCATCTTGGTATAAAATTTTAACAAAATCAAGTGTGATTAATGATTCATTAAAAGGTATAAAATACATTAAAATATATAAACATTTTATACCAATAAGACATTAATCATTCTTGTAACAGTGACATTAAAGTTAATTAATAGGGGTCGATTCTTAGATCTCATCGGTTCACCAAATTACTTTTCTACTGATCCTCGGAAAAGCGGCATCGACTAGTTTGGGAATCTGTTTGTTTAGTGAGTGGCAGTAAACGTGTTGTTATATTGTTCCGTGTAATATGTGTCAGGTCCCGCGCGGTGCAGATACACTGTGCGAGTATACAACGCGCGTGCGGGCGCGGCCGCCTGCGGGCACTCACCGCGCACGCGCTGGCCACCCATCCCCCGCACGACCACCAATCGCTCTAAATATACGCCTACCAACACTATATATACGCTTTCATTTACAATACCACTACCGAGACTTGTGAAAAGGCGTATCTATTGCCTACACTCAAAAGCAACTATTGTGACACAGCGATGTACAATACAGCTTCAGGCTGCTATAATATGTCAAATTTCTTCAACCGATTTTGACCTTTACCCGCAATACAAAGTTTAAAATCGGGTAGAGAAATTTGACAATTGTATATAGTCTGACGTGCTGTTGACTGCACTTTCGCACAGTAAACAGATTTTGATGATGATGTAAGTAACGCGCCTGATCTACACCGAGTATGGCAAAGACTGAAACCTACTAGGTTATATTTATTGAACAAGTTACTAAACTTTCGTTTTTAATTAGATGAACAAAACATACATTTTTAAAAGCACAAGCAAAAGTAATTAAATACGTATAAGAATACTTATTCCAGAAGTAATAAGTAGCAAGTTAAAATTTACTTAACTACTTATGAGTTTAATTAGAATTAAATATTAACTTGCTACTATTATTAATGTGTTTACACATACTTTATCACTACTTAATCACGTGTAAATTAGTCATGAGTTGCCACTTTATCGCAAATAAAAATTTGTGTTGTGGTCCGAATGATCGGAAGTGATCCATGAATTATGATTCCTTAATATTTCATACATTCGTCCGTAAAAGTAGTAGTTTATACTATCAACGATTGTAGGTAGTGATAGAAAGGACTCGAGTCTTTTAGCCTTTTTTTAGACTTGCAGCCTTATTGAGAGGGCTGAAAGGCTAAATAGGCTAAGCCCTCGAGGTATATTAAAAAAAGGCTTTTGGCTTCTTCCTTCTCCTCTTTGGAGATCATAAGATATAAAAAAAATGGATTTTTATTTTTACATTTTTTTTATTTATTATTTATTTATACAGGAACGAAAAAAAAGTAAGTTTTATATTTATTATCTAACGATTAAAAAAATATTCACATTTATACAATATATTTCCGATATACCATCTCATTACTTATTATTAGTATCATTAATTAGTATTTATTATCATTTTCACAATAAATGAAAATAATACTTTAATCAATATCTTGTATTTCTATATAACCTGACTAGGCTTTTTTTAAATTAAAACTAGCTAAAGCTCCAATTACAGCTCCAGCCTTCAAAAAGGCTCGATCTTTAAAAAAGGCCTAAGCCTTAAAAAGATTCGAGCCCTTTTTTAGAAAGGAACTCTTAATAGGCCTATTTTATGAGTACGTCTTAAAAAGGACTCGAAGCTTTAAATTTAAGCCTAAAAGGCTCGAGTCTTTTCTATCTCTAATTGTAGGTATTACAATTTTGTATGAAGCACTTGATTATTTTTTCGTGAATTCAGTGTTGCTCCCATAGTAAAAGTTGTTCAGTATACATAACTAATCCACTCCACAAGTCTTGGCATATAATATTACACCCTGTATAATAGATTTTAAAATTAATTCTTTTTAGATTGATAATAGAGATTCGAATCAATTTGCCACTCATGATGGCAGTCACTAATGATGAATAGCTAGAACCCTAAATTTCGTTAATTTACTATTATACAAAAAAGTCTCTAAAGGCAAAAAAACCTATGTATTAATATAGATTTTGGCTGTGTGATTTTTTGCATTTAGGTACTTCTACGTTACGATTTATAGAACATTTTATTTTCCGAGTGTGTTAGTATGAATCTGACCGGCAGACTTCTCACCTTACTATATTGGCTACATTGACTTTGGTTGACCATACTCACTATATCTAGAAATACGAATATTAAATTTAAATGCCAAACAAAACAAAGCCAATATAGTTACGCGGTAGGCCTGTGACAAGGTAATAAAATTCGGAGATCGCCAAGACCGAATTCAACCTGTAAAGACATCCAAAGACAAGTCAATAGGATATAAATGATAAAGATTAAGTAATTTAAAATTTTATTATCAGAAAAATAACATTTACAGCGCATTCTATCTAAATGAGTCTGGAATTCATTCTATATTAAAGGAAACTTGTTTTATCTATCAGACTTTGATGCATTCTTACTACATATTAAGTGCTTTTAGGGTTTAAGGAAACATTACATGTCTCGTAAACTTAGGTTCGCCCTAATTACAATTATTTTTACATGGGATATCACAACATATATAGATAAATATAATATGTATTACCCTAACATTGTTGTCCATGTTTAATATCGGGGATATTTATCTCGCTTTTTCCATCTTGAAAATGACGATATTACGCAATACTAATCCACAACGGACGTCAAAATTATAATACGTATTTTAAAATAATTAGCAAAAGATTTCGTTTTAAGAAAAAAATAGTCTATTGGCCATGTTAAGGAGAGCCAAGCGTCGGTTTTTCTACATTTGAAGAACCAATAATAATAATATAACGAATACTTTATTCAACATATTTTTCTTGAATAAAACTAATATGGCTCATTGACGTACCTGCGGAAAAGGCAATTTCTGTGCACGGCAAATGTCGACCAATGAGAATGATTCAAGTAACGGCGCCAGGCCTCCCCACTGTATAAGATTTAATGCGTTTTACACCTTATGTACTTAACAAGACTCATAATAAATTCTGATCGTACATTTGGTCATCAGTCTTCTATAACCATCATGCACCATAGGATTGGATGTTATTCTACCTGTTTTTATATTACTGACAGATGCGCGATTTTGTCTATTTCATATAGATTTTCAGATCAATGTTACGCGACTTTTGTGCCAATAGATGTCTGCTCGTTTGTAAATTTAAATATGCAAGCAATTTTACCGTTGACAAAACGTTCGTGAACTTTTGACAATACCAAAAACGCCAGTGGGATATATACTTTAAGGGGGTTTTATCGTGCTATAAAATGATCTTACGATAGTTCGGAACATTTACATTAATCGATGGGATCTGTATGCCAGTTCCAGATAATTTATGGTTATTTTCAATTGGGTCATACGCACCACGCATGCGGTCCCCATCTACGAATGTAAATAAGCCATAATAGATGTTTTATATCACGATACGTTCGCGTCGGAATCGCAACGGTCATTTCAACTGTCTCTTAATATTTTAATTGTATTTGTGTTAAAATAAGGACAGTTAGCAGTGATATTAAATTAAATTCGACAGCACGATCGCACGATGGAACCTAACATACTATGTTATTAAGATACTTGCACTCAGGCGAAAAACTTACGTCTGTTCATACACTCTGCCGATTAGGGCAACGCTTTAGGTCCATCACACATGGAGCTATTTAAAAGTAACGGAACAAATCAGTGATTATAATTACAAACTGATTATATAGAATACACTTGCAATTTCTTATCCTAAGAGATCAAGAAACGGTTAACAAGCGGAAATCAGTAACCAGCAGAGCGATTCCGTAAAAATCCGAACCCGAATTTGAATTTACGTCTAAAAGAGATCCGTTTAATCTTGAATCAGTATTAACGTTTCGAGGCATAAGTGAAACGAGTTTAGAAATGAAATAGGGATAGAATATCTGAGACACGTATAATCAATTTTTCTTGGTTTATATTTTTATTTATATTATTTATTATAGCTCTCAAACGTTTTTTCAACTATGATTTACTAAATAAAATTATTTCAAATAAAAAATAACTGAAAGCGGCATTAGCTTATCAAATTATTTTATTTCCATATTAATAAAAATAGCTATCAGTTGGCAGTCTGGAGGATGGCGCCAAATTTATTATCTACAAAGGAAAACGATCACTAATTATAATATATTTATAATATTTTACTTATTTTTATTTCAATTTAATATATAATGAACATTGCGTATTCGGGCGGCCTGCAAAATTTTCGGTGACACTCTCCTCTGTTTGCTATTTTTTTATTTATTTTGTACACTCGTAGCGTCTTCGCGGACGCGTCCACTGACATCTGAAACAATATCAACACACATATTACACGTATAGTTTCTTAGTAATCAAATTTCTATCTTTATCATAACCCTATAGATGGAATCGAATAACCCACGTGTCGCGAAACATGCGATTTCCGAACTAAATATTATTAATTTTATGTTGGTAACACTGTGTAAAATGATCATAACTTTGAAATAAAATTTGCCGGGTAAAAAGTAGATAAAAAAATATTTTAACGGATACAAGAGTTTGGGTAGTTGTGTTACAATGATGAGGAGACATAATGAATGTTGAAGTAAAGAATCCCTCGGGCCTGAAAACAGTAACGACTGCTGCATGGGTGAGTTGCACATGTATTGTATAATTGTGTAAAGAGGAAATGCATTGAGAGATACCTAAAGATGCGTGATGATAAGAGTAATTTTGGAAGATCTGGAGGTCGAGGTGGTCTATGGGGAAGGCAGGAGGACCAGTAAGAGCTATACCGACAATATGTCTATCTATCTTGAGGGAGGAATCTATCGTCATGAAGGCGACTCCAGGGAAATGTTAACAACATTCTTTAATGTTGTGTGTAATCCACGATGTTAATGAGTTACAAGTAAAGCATCTAATCTCACAATGCACGTCCTAATGTATGTATGTATTTGTCGCAATGGCATCCCTTAGAATTCAGGCATAGGTATAACTGACTTCGCGACACCACGTGCACCTAGTGCGGATTGGTGTTAATGAATGCCTTCCAAGGCACGGAGACAATAAAATTTTGGTTCTGTTTTGTTTGTTTTATGTAAAGTAGCTCATTTGTAATCAGGTTATCATAAAACATCATTTCCAGCAATTCGTTATAAACTTAATATTAATATAATATAATTAAGTTTGTACATATGTTACTAACAGATTTATTAAATAAAGCGTACCTCGCTTGATTTATAATCATAAAAAGAAGATACATAAACCTTCTGCTAAATTCAGAAATAAAACAGAAGAAAATATATTTAATGTAATTTATTTATTTTTAGATTTATTGTACTTACGTTTGCGATTTAATAATTTTCTGCTGAAAGTATTTTAAATGCAGTATTTTTTGCAGATTATCGAGTTCCAAATGTCATGATAACTTATTTATTTTATTTAATACTAGGTTTCTGACAGCGACTTTGTCTCATGAAACACAGTGATGTACACCCTACTGCCACACTTTTTTAATTATTAATTTCTAGCAAAGTACCAATTTTTATCGAGTTAGATTTTACACTTACTTTTAATATAGTCGTTTTTATAATATATTTATAGTATAGTATTTTTTGTTTAACAATACATTTGGCATGGTAGTTTTTGTCTATCAATACATTTAGCATAGTAGTTTTTGTCTATCAATACATTTAACATAGTAGTTTTTGTCTATCAATACATTTAGCATAGTAGTTTGTCTATAAATACATTGAGCCTAGAGCCATTACGATATAATGAGTGTTAATATTTACGGTATGATTACGCGGGCTGCGGATGCGCGGTGGGCAGCAGGGAAGGCGCGGGCGCGGGGGAGGGCTCCTTGTTGCTACGCCCCTGTCGCTCGTGCTTCAACTTCTCACCGCTCATGATTGCCTTTATGTCCTCCGCGTCCAGGGTCTCGTATCTAAACATCACCGCTACTTATTACCTCTAAACAGGGTTCATTGATAAATATCAACGGATATATACATTGATATATATCAATTGACATTTATAATATTTATAGTTAGTTTGAATATTGAGTCTGAGCTGGAAAATTAACAAACCCGATGTGACGCTGGCAACATTGGCCCGAAGTAGCAATCTTGCTAGAAATTTAGAGTTTTTCGCCGTAACATAAAACTGAAGTGCGAACGATAATGAGGAAGTATTTAAAAAAAATATTAGTTCCCGAAATCAAACTAGATGTCGCTACGGTACGTTCTTGATTTCTCAGTGACAACCTTTCCGGTTCTTTCATATTTAAAAGTAAATTAGTTTTCAAAATTCAACTAACAACTCATATTCTATTTGTACTCTTTCGTATTTTTATTGATATCTAAGTTTCGAACTTTACAAATTTCACTTTTTTAATATGTAAAATTTAACATTTTAAAGGAAACGAATAGACCAAAGACAGTGTCTTTGGTCTATTCGTTTCCTGCAAAAATCAACTTTTGCTAGAGTCGCCATCTAATGGAGGTGTTTTACAGTGCTTTTTTTTTAATACTTCCTCATTCTCTTTAATTATAATATACTTAATAAACAAATATTATAAAAAAGCCACTAACAGCTTAAAAATAGTAGCTTTTTATATGCATGATATATATCCATTATATATCAGATAAATATCAAATATTTTTGTGAATCCTTTTTAATAATTTAAATAAGCTTTTAAACAATAATCAAATGTTCTATGATATTAATATAACGGTACACATATGATATTAGCACGTAAAATAACATCATGTCACCAGTCTATTAATGTTCCATGACCCACCACATAAGCCCAGTGCGGATTGGTGGGTTAACCACTGCAGATGCAGTCGGGACCAATGGCTTACGTGCCTCCCAATGCACAGAGGAGCTCGAGATAATAAATTTTTGGTCACCCCTTCTATGACCAGCCATGGCAAAAGTTGTTTAACAACCATATCATATAATAACTTAAAATCTAAATATAATTTAAATTTTCAAATTCCCCGCGAAAATGCTACTTCTTCATGGCGTCGCTATGACGTCACGGCCCTTTGAAAATAATATCGTTCTATGCATGCATTAGGTTGAATTCTTCAATTTCTGATATGAGTAAGAGGGGCGTGACGTCACGCGCTGTTTGCGGTCACCTGACAAGTATAAAATATTTGTTTTTCATAATAAATTTAAGCAATATTATAAATATAATAAGCTACAGTGTTATTATCGGTAATAGTATATTAAAAGCTACCCGAAAAAAAATGAATTTATTTTCGTTTATGTTTAAATTCTCAATATTTAAAGTAAGCAAGTCTCAAACTGTTCTTGTACGTCATTTAAACAGGTTTTCGATTCTGATTATAGATTTTTTTTTTAATGATAGCAGTTTGATAAAACTAGGACTTTTTTTAGGACTAGGCTTTTGACATGTAAAAAGTAATTGAGAATAATGAGTCGAGATTTTTTACTTTTCACAATTCAGAAACCCGTTAGTCAACTTCAAAATAACATTTATAGACTCGCCTCTGAGTGGTTTTCATTGAGTTAATATTTTTCTAAATATACTTATCAATTGCCATTGCCAAAACGATTATTAAATATTAATTAAATGTGACTCACTTGAGCAGTGCTTCTGCTAAAGCCTTGTGTTCTTTGGCGTGATTGCGCAGTATAGTTTTGGCGCGTTCGTAACTATCAGACAGAATCTTCTTGATTTCACCATCAACCTGTCACAAATAAAAATTTGATGAAATCAAACCATTGATCACCTTTTTTCTTATAAAAGCATATTTCGGTACGCTTCCTGCGAACATCGCAAAAATAAATGTGTGTCGCGGTCATCTTATTGGTCAATAAAACCGACCAATGTAACTGAGTCGTAAGTGTAGTTTCTAGACTTTCGCAATAGATTAAAATTAGATACAATTAGAATAGTTATTTATATTTAAGAGACATTTAATATCTTAAATATTTGTATTTTTGCTAAACAAAGCGTTTTCATGGTAGTTTTTGCTTACTAATACATTTTATATAGTAGTTTTTGTTTGGCAACATAATGAGCATAGTAGTTTAGTTTTAATAGAAAGTAGTTTTTGTCTCCAATATAATGATGATAATAGTTAAATATATCCATTATCGAGTATAATGATTATCATACCAGTTCATTGGTGTAGGGTCCCAATTGGTCACCGGGCGTGAGTGAGGCCCTAGGGGGCTCCATGCTGCGGAGGCCTACTTTCTCGCTCATGCCCCACTCCCGGACCATGTGGCACGCTATAGACGTCGCCTGCTTCAGATCCGACGATGCGCCTAATATAAAATTTACACCTATCATGGTCACATAAACTACGTTACCGTAACATATACTCTTTCTAAATTTAAATAGCAACATTGGCACAGTCTGAACATTAATCTAGCTCTAAACAGTTTCTTATTTCATTAATTAGATATTTACTGTTGTACTGTACTGTTACCTAATAAATAAATATCATGAAAAAAAAAACAACAAAAAACAAATCACTTTAATTATAAAGGAATATAGAATCTTGTGATTGTAATAACAAAATTATATGATATTTTGTCTAAACTTAGTTAATGAAGCTGGGATTCATAATAAGATATCATTAAAGTGTAGTTGGCATTGTTTACTAACCTGACGTGATCTTATCTTGACCGAAGATGAGTTCCTCAGCGGCGCGGCCACCCATCATGGTGTCCATCATCGCCAAAAGTTGCTGCTTCGTTACGTGATATCTGATATAAAGAAATGATTTTAAGCACAATTTTAATTTTCCAGTTTAAAGTAACCGTTGAGTAAAGCTATCCATAAATAAAACTGGATAATTTTACAAAATAAATATCTTATTGCTTCTATTGAGTTTAGTTATTAATTCAGATTTTTTACAAACAGTCGATTACGTACCCGGTATGTGATTTTTATATGATACATAATAACATAGATTACCTTTCCTTAGCTGGTATATACGCGGTGTGCCCTAGCGAAGGCCCTCTCGGTATTATTGTTACTTTATGTAAAGGATGCGCGTCCTAAAACAATTATAAATATTGTTAATTATATAAGTATAATTATAATATAAACGAAATGATAGCAGTTGACTGAAAATTGTATTTATATGCTTTACAAGAGTTTATATATCGTGAAGAGGTAAGTATGTATATAGGTTGTAAACATGTTATATATCGTGTATTTTTCAGTCTGAGCATAAAAGGAAGTCAATGGATTAATTTGATTTTTGATTTTTATTACGACATTAACGCACTTTGCTCTAACAGGCGACTATTGAACGGCTTCCCGTAAGGATTATAATAATGTAATATTGATACATTATTGATGGGAAAACAACTAACAATATATTGATGGCAAATTGATATAGCATTTATGCGATATTACTGCCGAATATAATTATATTTACATTCGGCAATAATATCGCATAAATGCGTGGTTAAATGCCTGGGTGGCAAGACGTGACCTTGGCATAATAGGCGATTATGGCTTGGCCGCGCTCGTGGTACGCAGTGATAGTGATATCCACCTAGTCGGATAGGTAGCACTGATGTGATATTGACGTAATATTACCTTGGTATAGTAGGTGACTGTGGCGTAGCCGCCCTCGTGGTAGACAGTGATGGTGTTGGCCTCCTCGTCGGATAGTACTAATGTGATATTGACGTGCTATTACCTTGGTATAGTAGGCGACTATGGCATGGCCGCCCTCGTGGTAGGCAGTGATGGTGTTGGCCTCCTCGTCGGGTAGTACTTATGTGATATTGACGGGCTATTACCTTGGTATAGTAGGCGACTATGGCGTGGCCGCCCTCGTGGTAGGCAGTGCTGGTGTTGGCCTCCTCGTCGGGTAGTACTGATGTGATATTGACGTGCTATTACCTTGGTATAGTAGGCGACTATGGCGTGGCCGCCCTCGTGGTAGGCAGTGCTGTTGTTGGCCTCCTCGTCGGGTAGTACTGATGTGATATTGACGTGCTATTACCTTGGTATAGTAGGCGACTATGGCGTGGCCGCCCTCGTGGTAGGCAGTGATGGTGTTAGCCTCCTCGTCGGGTAGTACTTATGTGATATTGACGGGCTATTACCTTGGTATAGTAGGCGACTATGGCGTGCCCGCCTTCGTGGTAGGCAGTGATGGTGTTGGCCTCCTCGTCGGGTAGTACTTATGTGATATTGACGGGCTATTACCTTGGTATAGTAGGCGACTATGGCGTGCCCGCCTTCGTGGTAGGCAGTGATGGTGTTGGCCTCCTCGTCGGGTAGTACTTATGTGATATTGACGTGCTATTACCTTGGTATAGTAGGCGACTATGGCGTGACCGCCCTCGTGGTAGGCAGTGATGGTGTTGGCCTCCTCGTCGGGTAGTACTGATGTGATATTGACGGGCTATTACCTTGGTATAGTAGGCGACTATGGCGTGGCCGCCCTCGTGGTAGGCAGTGATGGTGTTGGCCTCCTCGTCGGGTAGTACTGATGTGATATTGACGGGCTATTACCTTGGTATAGTAGGCGACTATGGCGTGCCCGCCCTCGTGGTAGGCAGTGATGGTGTTGGCCTCCTCGTCAGGGAGGCGGGAGCGGCGCTCGGGGCCCATCAATACCTTGTCGCGCGCATCCTCCAAGTACTTCATTGTTACCGTTTTGGCACCATCTATCGCCGCTCTATACCAAGACGAGAAGAATTCTTTAAATCTTTATTGCATTCAGAAATAGACGAGACAGTTAGGTTAGGTTCCAATTTTCCGCATCTAAGCACGCTCTAAACCCACGGTGGGCAACATCCGGCCCGCGAGTCATTTTGAAAAACCTTATTTATAATAACATTGTCGTATTATTTAATGTATGAAATCTATCGCAAAAATATATACTACTTTTAAACGCAGCCCGCGAACGTACTTGCACACTAAAGTTTGGTCCACAACATGTCCAAGGTTGCCCATACGTGCGTCTAATCGGTGCATTGTGCGTGAGAATATATAAAAATAGAGTAAATATACATGGTAAATGAGACAGATTTAATTTAATTACATCATCTGCCCTTGGGCGTGTATATGTATGATTAAAGCAATGCGATAGCAATGTATATACCACACCTGGGGATCGATAGATGTTAGATAAACAAATATATTTTTCACGAAAATTTGTATGTTGAAGTTATACTTTCTTTATTTTTAGAAGTGTTTCTAATTATATTACCACCACTGTATGTTGTTTAATATTTAAGGTATAATTGAGAAATATGTGTCAAAGCTAAATTAAAGCGTGATATTAAGCAAGCTTTACTAAGAATAGAACTGTCAAACAGCCATCTTGGTTTACATTGTGCTTTAACTTCAGGGAGTAAGGTGTCTCCCTGAAGACACACACAAGACCGTCAACTTCAAATTTAGGAATAAAGAAAAGACTAAGCGATCAATTCAGACACAGCAATTTTTTAATTCTTGATGAAGTCGCATCAATACTAATAATAAATCTAACAATTAAATATATGTATAAAGATAAACGTATTCAAAAAAAAAATACCGATTTTTTTTTGCTGACCCTACTGTAATGACAGCTATGCCATGAAGTCGGTAGCTAAGCTCGCATAATATATGTGTGGTCTAAGTTTAATCGTGTCGTGTGCATTGTTATATAGGATGTGTTCTCACTTGAGCGCGGCCTGGTTGACCATGCTCTCCAGGTCAGCGCCGGTGAAGCCCGTGGTCCCGCGGGCCAGTACTTCCACATCCACCCCAGGATGTGACGCCACGCGTCCCAAGTACAACTGCAAGATCTCAAGCCGACCCACGTAATCCGGCGTCGGCACCACTACCTAGAACCGATATACTATAAGCTAGTTGACAACTTTTACTTTATTTTATAAATTAAATTCTGAGAAATGATGTAGAAGTAACGTAAATTATAACTTATGTCACTCACGTATGATGTAGTCTTACATATATAAAAGAATTTTTAAAATCGATCCGGTAGTTTCCTATTCAATGAAATCAAATCATCTTGTTTTTAATATTAGTATAGATGTAGTGTTTGAAACAAATCTATATTTACAGCACTTTGTAAAGAACAATTTCAAAATCATAACACAAGTGTAAAACCTACATAACACTCATCCCCTTAATATTCTTCTATTAACACTCTTCATTGTTCTCGTCAACCTAAATTATGCCAAATCCACAAACATTTTATAACAGTTTTCATCAGCTATCAACATAAAAGACTAATTCTTTACTCAAAAAAAAAAAAAATTATGTGTTCCGTACCTCTACGTCAAATCTGCCGGGCCTAAGTAACGCTTGATCTAGATCTTCTCGTCTGTTGGTAGCACCCAATACAATCACACCCTCGTTCTGATGGAAACCGTCCATCTCTGACAACAGCTGGTTGATTGTCTGACAAACAAACGCACAATATTTATTGCTTATAGTTATTACTTTAATACTAAAGTTTCGCTGCTTGGGCACAGACCATCCCTAAAATCCACGGGCATTCACGGGTCAAGTGCGCGTAGGTGGTTGTTTAACTACTTCAAATACAGCCGGCACTAATGGGCCAACATTGTCGGTCACCCATCTGACATTACCTTTATACCTTTATATTACCTTTATACATACACGAATAGGAGTTCAAAAGCACAACAGTTAATACGTTAGGTTTGCAAAATGGAGGTTAAGCAAATTTCGTAAGGGTGGGTCATAAGATGGGTGACCACAAATTTACTACTCGGAGCTCCTCCGTGTTTCTGAAGGCATGTTAAGTCGTTGGCTCCATCTGCATTTGTTATTATTACCACACATCAATACCCGCGTGGTGGGTCATCATGGCCTGTTCTCCCTATTTCATAAATTCTATCCATAGGGAATGCCTATGCCCTAGCAGTGGTAACATTAATAGACTGGTGATGATGAAATTATTGGGATTGTGCAGTATAAAATATATTCAAACTAAATCTAATGTTAACTTAAAAACAATTACTTGATTACTTTCAGTTACCTGATTGGCATACGGATGTAATACGCTGTTAGTTCTTTTCGCTCCAACTGAGTCTATCTCATCTATAAATATAACGCACGGCGCGCGCTCCTTAGCCGCTTCTACGATATAAATAAATATATTAATTAGTCATGATCGATGTTTGGTGTATGGAGGTTGGATAGATAAGACGTTTTGACCATACACCTCCTGACCTAAGTACACGGATTATTTAAATATGGAATATCTTTATAGACCTTGATATGATCTTTATCTCTATATGCATATGTTGAATACTATGTTTAGATCGTGGTAAATAAAATAAGGTAAACTTTAAAAAAAAACAAATGGTGATGCAACAAATACGAATATGCATATTCGCCGAATATAACAGTTAAAAAATAGTATTCTTATATTATTGAAAAAACCCAGCATGTCTATAAAATCGTATTCGAATATTTTCCTTCGTCCACTTATAACTGCTAAACTAAAATTATTAGGAATTTAATTTACTATTATTGATTTAGGACTAAAATGTATGACAAATTAGATGAATGAAAATAAGTAATACATATAAGCTATAAGTATATATACAGGGCTAATTGTAAAATACCAGTAATCTTGAAGAAGCACACAGCTCACAAATGATGACTTTTTTAATACAAAAATAAATTTCAATTTAAATCAGCGCTCAAACGTTTTTTACAACCAAACACATCTAGTATCTAATAAGGAGATAAGTCACAAAGCAAACGAGCATAACAGCATAAAACAGACTTCAATGATTTGACAATACAACAAAAACAAGATAAGTCAAATTATCTCGAGCTACTCCGTGCTTCGCAAAGCACGTTAAGCCGTTAGTCCCGGTTGCATTTGCGGTTGTTTATACCCTCCTTTCCTCTATTTTTCACCAGCGTGGTGGATCATGGCCCGTCCTCCTTAATAAGGAAGGCCTCAGCCCCTGCAGAAGGGACGTAAAAGGGCTGATGATGATGGTATTTAAAAAAATAACCCTATATAGGATAGGTGAAGACTCACTAAAGAGATCACGGACTCGTCGGGCGCCCTGCCCCACGAGGATCTCGTCGAACTCGGGCCCCGCCGCGTGGAAGAACGGCACCCGCGCTTCCCCCGCCACCGCCCGCGCCAGCAGCGTTTTACCCGTACCCGGAGGACCCACCAGCAGCACGCCCTTCGGCAACTTGCCGCCCAGCGACGAGAACTTGTCCGGGGACTTTAGGAACTCCACCTACAGGGGCGGAACCAGACCTCAAAAAAGATTGTACAGACACTCAAAATCATGCCAAGTGAGAGTCGGGGTGTGAACTCTGCTCAAAATAGTGCAAAGGAGATCTTTACAAAAATATTCCAAAATATAATAAAATTTACAGTAGACCATCAAAATGTGACGTCACAAATCTATCAGACTTGCAGGCATGCCTATCGAGTTGCCCAGCGACGAGGACCTATCAGGGGATTTCAGTATCTGCACCTAAATACACAGTACCATCCACCAATGTCTTCACATTGAATCCCTTCCAAAGTAGACAAAGAGATCATTACTCCCCAAGAACCAATCTTTATATATGTCTACGCACTTCTTTGGTGATCCCGACTCTTTTCGCGAAAATCGAAGAAAAATCTCAAATTAGTTTAAAAAATCTTAACTATACAATAGTTTATAAAACGCAAATAATACTGTCAACTGATAATATTGACAAATTATATTGCGTAGCTCTATCGTAGCGTTTTAACTTCCTAATAGCAAATTAAATTAACATAATAATCTAACTGGACTGGATCTAACTTCTGTTCAAGACAATTTAGAGAATAGTCATTTCTATACTGTCTTGAATTTGGTTATTTGGAAAACCATTGCTGTTTTAGATTTTCATAACACGCTGTATTTAGTCACTTAGCTTGGGATCTAGACGATTATGTAATATATATTTAATTTTAGCAAACTCACAACATCTTTAAGTTCCTGCTTGGCCTCATCTGCCCCCTTGACGTCATCAAAGGTAACCGATATGTCCTCGGGATCCACCTCCACTTGATTACCGAGTTGAATCCTGCGCATGTTGTCCAAGTGAAACACTTATTTATTGTATTCATTAAAACATTATAAAAGTTGTCAAAAAATGATGGCAGTGTTCTAATGAGTTCTATTCATTAGAACATTTTTACTAATGCATATTTCACTATTATATAGTATTAAATTATTGATCTATTTACAAAATACCTTTATTTGTATAAATGCTCCATAATTTTTGAACTTCAACATAAATACAGATCAAACATGACTTTAATGTAATTAAGCATATAATATTAGCCTGTTTCCATAATATAATTTTACAAGATTTTTATTTTTAAAGGACTTCAAAATCCAAAAGGAGGAAGGTTTTATGTTCGACGGAGATAATTTTTTTTTTATGTATGTTCACCAATATTCCGCCAGTTGATGACCGATTTTTAAAATTATTTTTTATTTGACAGCATAATGTACCATGGTGGTATAATTTAAATTTTATCTAAATCGAATCGGTAGTTTTCCTCCTTGAACAAAACAAAATACACATTCCACCAAATACCACCCGAATATTTAGTTGATATGGTAAAATATAGCCCATTTTAGCTAAAAAACAAAAGATTGCGTATTGGGTAATTTATTCAAAATCCAAAAGGTATATTTTCTATGTTCAAGGAGTATGTATATTTTTTATGAAAATAGGTATTTTAATCGATTTCTTCTTGAATTGTGAACCAATTCTTTTCAAAATTTAAAAATATGGTAAATAATATTTATCTCAAAAGCTACTTATTCGAAGAAATGTTATTGAAGACGGGCTTCTATCATTTAATTAGCTAAAATAGCTTTTGAGATAAGTATTATTTATCATATTTTTAAAATTTGATATCGATTCTATTTAAAAGATGTTTAAATTATTACTATGACGTCCTAGTAGTTTCCTATGAGAGTTACCTAAAGACAGTGCCGCTGACCGACGCCATTAGACTAACGAAGATGGCCAAGAACAATACGATGGTCAGTAGTTGCTGAACAAACTTGAGGTACTTGGACGCTTTGGTACCACGGACGTTGTCCGGATGGGAACCTGTCGAACATATAAACAAGACATACTTCAGTTTTTTTTTTTTTAGTTTTCCCTTGTCTTTTCAGACTGATAAATTATTTATAATATTAAACACAAATGATTTTAAAATACATTCAAATAGCATTTAGAAAAACATAGCTATGGCAAAACCAATTGTTCCTTATTTTTATAGATTATTACATAGTAATAAGAGGTCAATGGGATGACTAATGGGAACATACAATTAACTACTGACTTAATACTGATATTTAACTTATAGATTAATACTTAAAAAATTCTAGCTGGTCAACAGTTGTTAAAAGTCCATAACCATATTATTGAAAATTTGCCAAGCAACCAATTAAATGAATAAACATTTTATTTAATGATGAACATCTTCTGCTGTTCAATAAATATAACTTTTACATTAGGATAAATTTTTTATGTATTAAATGTAAATACTTTCACAATGTTATATTAAAATTTGCAATAGTATATTAGTAATGTTTTTTAAGATATTTCAAATATATTTTTAATATTATTGAAGTTCTGTCGTATATCTTTTATGTATTTCACAAGCAGTCCAGCTGAATTACTAGTTGGATGGTGGTACCAGTTAACATGCAGTTCTAGCTGCTTCCCACTCAAAAAAAAATGCAAATCAATCCAATGGCCTCATATAATAAATATCATATCATTGATTAATTGATTGATAAAAACTGCTGCATATAACCTGCAAGATATCCTTCAGCAAAGGCAATCTTGATTTTGTCTTTCTGCTGGTGTGTGAGCACCGGCTCATCTGTCAAAAGTTTTTCCAGTCGTGGCGCTGCCTCTGGACCGACATTGCTTTGCTTCTCACCTTCCGACACATTCAGTCCTGAAAACAAATACTCAGTTGTTGTCATAGATAATCTCCAATAGATACTGCATTATGACTATTTTGTTAAAAGATAAATATGACGAGGTAACTGCGGCGACGCTATTGGCTAGTACAATGACACGTATTCCGTAGTGATGGAACAATATCATATGTGTTAAAGGCATGTCGATAATTGATCGTTATTTAGATGTGATTAAAAATATATTAAATTAAATTAAATATATTTTTATTTAATTCACAATTTACAGCACTATAAACTAATTGATGGATAAGGCATCCAATAGCAAGGCTTCAGTGCGTGCGTACGCCTAAAATCACTAACTTTAAATCAGTCAGTGAGAATGACGTTCAAAAATCGATTTTGTACAAAGCAATATATTTAAATAAGTTGTAATTAAAAATTGAAGCATAGCATCACATTTTAGATATTTAATCACAACCAAAGAATAAATTTATAACTCCAAAAGAGAAAATCAAAGTTCCTCAAAAAATCACAATTGTTGCATTTCTTGTAGCACTGGTTTACCTGCTACACATTCTAATTCAAAGCTATAATAAAATGCACTGATACACAAAACATACATAAAAATGAGTCTTGCGCCACTGCGCTCATATAAATATGTTAACTTAAATTTTCAAGAAACTGTTAATTTTGGCAAAAAATGCTAAAGTCACAAATTTTAGACTTTTTAATAATGTATAAGTATTAAAATAGGATGAACATTATTAATAAAAACTTAAAATACACATCTGAAATATCTTAAAAAAGTTAACATAGGTACTGTAGGTATATTGACAAATATTGGTTATAACCTCTGAGTACTTTTGCGTACTAATTAGTGCACTGAATACACATTTTTCCTATAATATTGATATAGACCATATAATCTTAGAAAAACCATGCAGCGATACTAGTGTTGTTTGTGTCTTTGTCAGAATGAAATGAATAATTGCTTTTATTTGTTTATTTAATATTATGCCTTGTGGTGGCATAGCTTGAATTACAGCCAAATCTTGGTAAATCAATTATAATCTCTATGTTCTATCAACCACTTTAGGAAAATCTTAAATATCAAATACAAATAATTACAGATAGCACTGTCCACAAAGAGGTGTGAGAGGCTCTTTCCTAATTAGTATATTTATTTTAGTGTGCTTGTGTGCACTCATATGTAATTAAATTGAACTGATAAAACTCAAACATTACCAGAATAATTCAGTTACACTATAAACAATATGGAAAAAGACTGAGGCGAGTCTTCATCCCTCTATTGACAAGCACATACTGACCGAATGACTTACGCAGTCTATTAATCAGGTTGGGATTCCTCTTTAAATCTGCATGCACTCCACGCTCAGTCTTGAAACCTCTCACTTGAACATTATAAAGGAAAATGTTTGTCTGTATGCTGCGAGTGAGGAGGCCCAAGAAATTGTCTGTGAAACTGACTCTGGAACAACAGAATTAATTAACATTAAAATAGATTGAGCTTCCATATGCTAATGGCTACAAGACATTAAATTAATTTATAGATTCATTATCATTTATTCACTCTAGGCTGCTAAAAGTACTTGTCAATGTCAAAAACTACTACATCAGTTCACAAATCTACGGCAGTAGACCTTGTCACAGAAAATCAAATTTCTATTTCTTTAATATAAACACTTAGCAATATACATCAAAGAAATATAAATTTGATTCTTCTTTATCACAATCTAACCTAAGCCAGATTAGAAGCTGTTATGATTGCATGTTGACATAGGCATTGATAGATTACTGTCTCACAAGTAATATACCTATTATTTGCTGATTTTGCAAATACATGACAATAACAAAATAAAGCTTAGCTATATTTTATTTTCCATTGGAGTTTGAAAATTTGTATCAGTAGCAATTTTTCATCATATTTTAGAAGTAAAAAATTGTAATACTATATATATACACATCCAATTATGAATAATAGGGATGATGACTGGGTAAAAAAAATGCAATTCTATTTAGTCCGTCAGTCAGATAATAGAAAAATATTAGATACGTATTTTTTTTTACTTCAATTTAACAAGAAATAGCTTAGATAACAGGCATTAAAGTTGAGGAGTGGGGGCTTGCTACGTCACAGTTGAGTAGAAAACGTACTCTAACGTGATGTCATGCGAAATTTCAACTCAATGTAACGCCGTCATTTTATGATTACAAAAAAAATAAAAAAATACGTGTTTAATATTTTTTAACACTCTACCTGACGGACAAACAAACAAAAATTAGTCATCATCCCTATTACTATTATAAATCAACTTTATACAAAAGATCTCTAGAAAATTTAAAGGTATGTGAAAAACAACAAAAGATGCTTATTTTTCTTATAGTCTTAAAATATTAAAAACCATCTTTTAAAGGCAACAAATGTTTAAGAAATGTCAGACTGCCTTAAAATAAACTATTGAGTATGAATTACTGTATAAACTTTCCTATGAACCACTCACTTAGTACTGGGTCCCCGCAGATCTACAGTAACTGTAGGAGTTGCTGTAGATAAAGCTGTCCACCCATTCTTGTTTTTATCAAAGGTCTCGGCTGATATAAATGAAACTTTCTTAACTGACTGAAGATCAGTGATAGAGTTCAACGGCTTTTTTGCCGCCTTACTAAAAGAAGCCAAAGAACGTAAATCAATTTTACGCATCTCAGCTAGGTCATTCTTATCAAAATTTCTCAGTGCCTCCTCAAGACTTTCTGAACACAAGGTTGCGTCATATAATGACGCAGCATTCTCTTTTCTCTTCACATGACTGTTTTTTCCATTGCTATGCTTTCTTTGTTTGAATAGGCACGAATATCGAGCTGCTAGCTGGTTAATATTAACTAAAATCTGTAAATAAAAATAAAGGTTATGTAGATGACAAATATTGCTTTCTTTGTTGGTGATCTTAGTTGCACATTATTTTTCACTAGCACAGGCAAATCTACCTGATTTTGGGTGTTTATAGAATTCAATGAGAACATGTTACATGTAGATAAATTGTATGTTTCCTTTTTTTGGAAGTGCACACGAAAATTTTGTAGGCTCTTACGTCAAACTTAATTTTCGTAGCAAAAAATGGCGAAAATATTTAATTTCTAGGTTATCTATGGTTTGCAAAGGGGCACAGCTATTGAGCCACAATGTAGTCACGTACGCAGATATCTTGTGAATTTCAAAGAATTCAAGGCATATGTACCAATCATTTTATATTTGTAGATAATTTTATGAATGTCTCTATCTGAAACTGTATACTTAGAATCATAACATCTATTTCCAAAAAAAAGTAGTTTTACTGAATTTCAAATATAAAGACTTGATTTTGAACGATCCTAAAGTTTAATGTTCTACTTGTCTATGCTTTATTTGGACAGTAAAATCCAAAATGGCGACGAGCGATGACGAGCCTATGCATTTATATGAAGTTTTTCAAAACTGTTTCAATAAAATAGCGAACAAACAACAAGGTGAGTGAAATAATGCATACCGTGGCTCGTCTCGCATCTCTCGAATGAAGTAACGTGGTGCTGTGAAGTGTTTCCTTGTGAAAATCAGCCAAAGTGTTTGCGTGTTATGCCATTACTGTGTTGAAAGCTCCAGCATTTTTTCAAATTGCGCCCAAAAAACGGATCGTAATAAACCAAAGTATAAACAGCAATGTTCTACAGTAAATAACGCAAGTACAACAACATAATAAAATATCTGTAAGTTGCATAAATCGTCAGAAAAAGGCTATGTTTTGATCACACATTTGATTGTCAAATGTGCTCTTAAACCATTGTGCCACAGATGGATTACTAAGCGTATACGTATTATTTTCTAGAATTACTTAACGCAAACGCCCATACTAAGGCTGAACAGCGCAAGTACTCCATTAATAACATAACGAAGTTATTTTCAGTCTAATAAAAAACTCATTAGGTACCTTTCTAACCCACACTCTCCCACTTTAGGGATGCATTTTTTTTCAAATCCATATCAATGGCATCGCAAGGTGTCGGCCAATGAATGTTATTGTTATGCTTCGTAGTTTTACATCGGTGATTGCCATTTACGTCGTCTTTATGACTTATGTTTACACTGAAATTTTGTTTATTTACACACGAAAGGCGCGAGCGTCTATCTATGGACTCTTTTAGAGATAAAATAGTTTGTGCATGCTAAATAGAAAAAGGTTTGAACTCCTGTGGATACATAAAACATTTAATTTTTATTAATTTATTAAATCCTATCTAAATTATTGACAGGTTATGAGTTTGGGGACATTGTTTGAGTAAAGTTTGTTTCTTTTTACTATTTAACAAGCGCATAATATCAAATTAACAACACTGTCACAAAAAAATGCTATAAATATAACTCAATACTATTTAAACTGCCTCTAATTAGAATTTCATTACTAACATAGACAATATAAGCTTTGTCATGCATCATCCTTGTACATGCATAAATAAAATGAACATAAAAGTTAGGTCTCAATGCCCTATGGGGCAAACAGTTAAGAATGTCATTATACAACATAGGTTTGGAATTCATTTCCTTCTCTAATTCCTAATGTTTATTTAGTAGTAGTAGCATGGTTACTTAGCTATTAAGCAATTATAATAAAATATTAACAATGTGATTATAAAGCAAGAGGAAAAAAAAACATAGCAACCAAATCATCATACAACCAGATGGTTGTATGATGCTTTTGTTTGCTATAGAATATATAGAGATTGTTAAAATAGGACTAGAAAGTAATTATAATAGAATAGGTTTGTTGTAAAAATCCTTATCAATACTTCAACATAAACTTTTGCCTTTTCATATGAATTCAATCTGTGTTTTAGAATTAGCTGATATTCATGGAAAGACTAGAATAATATTATAATGTGTGTGAAACCTCATAACTCTACTCGAGATGTTATTTATCCAACAAGATTAGTGGGCCAATGAATCAAAATAGAATTTGTTTTACTTATCCGCGATGATGATCCGATCTTATTAAAACAATCATAATTCTGACTATGACTGATTTAGCTTTGTAAGATAAACTTGTCCTTGATTCCTTTTAACTTTTCAATATATTATCATATTAAACTGAAAATTTTATAATAATTTGTATGATTCTTATATAAGTGTAATGTAGTGTGGAATATTAAACAAAAATTTGGCTAGTATTCTCATTGTTTCTATGAATTCTACTGTAGTCCTATAAAGTTAAAAAGCAGAGTATGGTACATAAGATCTTTTTCTAACTCATTGTTTCCTCAAGCATGATTTCAAAAGCAATTTTACGGACATCTCAATTATACAAAACTTTTGTGTATTGGAGTGAGCACAATATGAAGCTGTTTTTGTGCTGTAAACTAAAAGATGAGGCCATTGAGCATATAAGGTACATCAAAATATATTTCATAAAAACTTTTAAGGCTTAAATTTTCTTTAATATATAGATAATAAATAAATAAACAGAAATTTAGAATGTTGATAGAAGGCAATCTCATATCTTTCCACATAAAAGGTTAGTATCAATCAGTCATGTTGCCTGACCAACGCACAAATGTTGAAATATTGCTTTGTTTAATATCTTGTTTATTGATTTCAATTTATTTTGTATGAAAAAAGGCAAACTCAATGCCCTTAGTATTCAATTATAATTATGCCTGGAAGGTTTTATTGTAAGGCTGTAACATATTTTTGGAAGTAAATAAGTTTGCTTACAAAAAACTGCAATATGCATTAGGTATATTAAACTAATAATTGTTAGGGATGGAAATAAAACACAATTTTCCAAAAGATGTAAGCATATTATAATAGAATCTAATTTAGGACAAGATATGGCGTAAAATCTACCAAACTATTTCTTATTGATAAAATCAAATACGAAATTAAATATAAATACACTCTAAAAAAGTTTAACCTTGTAGTTCACTCACATGGCTATTACAAATGGCCAGCAACGAGCAACGCAATCTTGCGAATTGCACGCACCACACCCCCTTTACGTCGCGACGTACTACGCGAATCACCCCAATTTTGCCAGGAATATTTCACATACATTGCTAATTACAGCTGAAACAGGTACCTAAATTGTATAAATCTGACATCCCAGCCAGTAATCAAATTCAGAACCATGGAGATAGTGACACCCTGAAAACCGAAAATAACGGAATCGACTTGGCCACAGAGATCAAAATAAGAAATAATCAGAAAAAAATATCAAAAGTATCATGCTTTATCCTAAATCTACAGAAAATTATAAAGCATTGATAAACGGCTAAGTAATGCATTTAGAAACATGTGGTTAGTTCCTAATGGAACTGGATCTGTCTACACATACGTTAGTGTATCACCATGATGATATCCGGGGCAAGGCCAACTCTTGATTGTCACAATGGACTGCTATTGATTGATTTGAAAAACTATTGGTATTGATCTTAATCTTCTTCATTTAGAGTTCGAAATAGTTTGCCAATTAAATGATTCAGCTACTCAGTTTTATTTTGATAGTAAATGAAATTGATGGTTTATTATTTTAAATGCTATCAGAAAGATTTAAAATACAAATATTTATTTTTATGAAAGCTTTTAGCTTTTACTGTTTCTATAACGTGATAGAAAAGCAATATAATGAAATGAATTACTAATGTGTTAGAGTCAATGCGCCTGTTTCCCGTCCACCTTCATTTTCGACCATTTAACGGTCCTCCCTTGTAAAAGGTCAAAAACAGTAATGTTCAAGTGTTGGTATACTCAAGTGTCCAAAACTTAAACATCTGGCAACCTGGATATACTGATTAGCCTCATATTCACACACTAATACGATTAAACGAAACTTTAAGCCAAAACCAACTGACAAATCTGAGGGTTGCAGTGGACAGCGCCACACGCGTCGTATGTTAGCAAAAAATAGTAAAGTTCCAATATTTTGAAAGTGAGTTTCTAATAATTCTTAAGTCATTTAAATTGTTTATTATTTTTGCAGCTAGTTTATGACCGGTAGTTTATATTATGTGGACGAATTAGATTGTATCGTAAATTTCGTTACCAAACTTTAAATGAGGTAGTCGGAGAATGAAGAACCTTTTACCAAAATATTCAGTTTTCGACCAACAGGCCGATTCTGTAAAAATCCGAACCCGAATTCGAACTCACTCATGTGTCCAACTTCACATCATTTAGTGAAGAAAGTGTATTGATTCCATTTTTTGTATAAAATACAATACAAAATTGATTGATTATACGTGTCTCAAATATTCTATTCCTTTGTCATTTCGAAACTCATTTCACTTATGCCACGAAACGTTATTATATTACCAATTCAAGATTAGCGGACGCCGCTTTTTGAAGTGAATTCTGACACCTGAGTGAATTTGAATTCGGGTTTAGATTTTTATTGAATCGCAAGGCGAAAAGTGGGATGTCACATACAACTAAGAAGTTTTCTTAGATATATGAAACTTTTTTACTTATTATATCCGGTTATACTGGTTGAAAATTGGATGTAGAGCTCTAGAGCTCTCAGTTTCCGACCGTTTTTTATAAAAGTTATACAAAACTTGATAAGTTTATTGAATTTTGGAGCCCACAAAAAGAGCAAAGACTACGGAAATCGCTTCGTAATGTTTTCATTTAATAGGCAGACAAAGTAATATGTTCATCGTGTAAAAATAAAGACCAGTACTGAAATATAAAAAATTCATTGATTTATGTTATATGTGGGAATTAAATGAGGCCTGATTAGTTAAGTAAACGGGTTTTAATTAAAATTAACAAGTGGTAACTTAGTGCTCTATTATTTAGGAAAACATACAGGTGATACACAAGATTTTATTATAGGTCACTGATTTTTCTGCGGTTACTTTTTAAAGTCTTATAAAAATAACTTGGCGGAATATTCAAATTTTTACGCTTAAAGTTAGTAACTCCACTAATTGGACGAAAACAGGCTTATCTACCCTATATGTTTGACTCCTTTGATAACGATATGCCCTAAGTTCCGATTAGGTTCATGTGATGGACGATTTTTATGTCTCTCTAAAACTAAGTGGTGGTGTATGTAGTTTGTAGTCCCATTTGATTGTGTGTGTTTGCATTTTAGTTTTGTGTTTGCGCGGGATCGAGATCCTTCTCTTGGAAGACTCGTG